ATTTAGCTGGCTTTTGTTGTGTGTGGCTGGTACTAGTTACCAGAGGATTTGTACTGTGTGTTGGAAGAAGAGCCAGCCCTAAAAGCTATTACAGACAACAGACACAGAAAAGATCCATTCCAGACTGCATCTCAGCTGCCGAACAACTGGATGTGAAGCTGTCATATCCTTTTAGATGATCGACTGATAATGAGCTTCTTTTGATCTGCCTGGAGCACAGAGAATTACCTTCAGTGCCTGCCTCTGACTGGCAGGGGGAGGCTTGAATGCAGAGTTTTAAGTTTCCAATTCACCAGGAGTTCAGGGGAAAACTGTTTCCATTATTAGAACATAATTTTAGCAAGAAATTAGAACTTTGTTGTTAAGCACACCAATTTCTTTCTTAGTTCTTGAGTTTATAATCTTTTATTGTCAAGTAGACAATAACAACAGTGCACCGTCTGGAATGGTAAAGCATATGCATAGGTCAAGGAGCTCCCCAAAACTCAGGCTAGTGAAAGACAAAGGCTCTGCTGCAGTTAGCAGCAGGGAATTGCTTTTGATTTGGATCTAACATGCTGTTTTTATACTGACTGGGAGGAGGGGATAAGGACATGCACAACGAAGTTACTGGAAAAAATAGGTAGTCACTGGAACCACCTCACAGTTACCTGCCTCAGGAAACACACAAATAAACGGGTAACTGCAGTTAGGAGAAATAGACAGTTGTTTTTTTCCCAGCAGCGAGATGCAAAGAGCAATGGGCAGCTCATGAGCTTGGAAAAATTTTTTGGAAGGTGGAACAAAGGCCTAAGTCCATTTTCTGGGTAGAAAACAAAAAATTTTGCTGTTGATTTTGAGACAGAAAGAATAAAGCCATATAGACTGCTTTAAAAAAAAAAAAGCCAACTTCAAAAATTCCCTGTATTAGCTCTGACCTAGGTTTGGAGAGTTTAACTGAGAGTTCCGGTGTTCTGGGATGTATGTTCATACGTAAGGAAGGCAGAGGGACTGTATTTGCCTCCCAGGTTCATATGGTGAGTTCTTAAATGATTGCAGAGAGGCAAAACTGATTCATGCAGTCTTCACTACCTGAAAGCAGAGTCTGACTGGGGCCACATATCCAGGGCAGAGTAAGATTGACGAAAGTAATTGTTCCTACTCTTGCACCTTTCTACCCCTTCCCAAAGAAAGGAAACCCCTTCCTCCACTGAAACTGATGAGCCCATGCTGAGATGAAAATATTTCATGAGAAGGATGGACTGAAGTCAGAACTCAGTTCAAACACGTTCAAGTTCCTAGCAGCATTTAGGTCTGAAACATGGGTCCATTTCTGGGCTTCTGAGCCTTAGACACAGAAACTGGAATCCGGATCCTCACCGTGCCTTGCACACGTTAAGCCTCCCAGCACTGGTCCAGATAATAGCAAAGAGTCACCATCTGGCTGGATTTTATGGTTTGATGAAGTGCTCAGTTTTAAGGCAAGCACGTGTCTGGCACCTGGGGACTGTGGAGCCCTGATCCCAGTTCTGGCACAGTTTTTCTGTGGCCCTGGGCAAGTCACGTCCTCTTCAGAGGAGGGAATTCATCAAGTGCCCCATGGCCCTGCTGAAATGGCAAAGAGCTGTAAAACAATCCTCAGCTCCAATGGGAGGAGAGGCCGGCTGGAGGGGCTCTCAGCTGTGCTAAGCCAGTCCCTGCCACAGCTCCAGAGGTGCTTGTGCTGAGACACGGCTGAGGAGGGCTCCTGTGGGAGGGCTGCAAGCTGGAGACCTTGTTTCAAGGCTTATGCTCCCACTCACTAGGGCCATCCTCATCCTCAAGAGCCTTGGGGCAAAGTACAGACACAATTTTAGCCCCTCTAGTATCATTTTGCCAGCTGTGTGACACCAGTTACTGTCAGGCTTTACAGGTGGTCTGAGCAGGGCTTGCAAATCCATGTCAGGTGCACAGCACTTTTCATTAGTCTGCCATTTGTTACCGCTAACCAGTGAAATACTCTTCAGTCTTTATAGGTTTTTAATTATGACGTACTCCAATTTTGCTATAAACCACAGATATTTTTCTATTTACCATTAGAAAACATGAGAAAAGACACAGTAATTTCTCATCATCATGAGTCTATGATTTTCAATGGTTTTCCTCCCTGTTTAAGGAAGAAATAAGGACTCCAACAAATTAAAAAGCTCTCTTTGCTGCACACTGAAGCTTCTTTGTAAGGAAAACTTTTAACGAGATATGAGCATTACAAACAAAACCAATTGTGCATAGTGGAAGCCCTTCCTTTACTTTCATCTTAAAATTATTACATCTCAGTATGCCTTTATTTCATAATACATCCTCTTTGAATGCCAAAATTGGCCAGTCTGGTTTCATTTTCCTTTACAGTTTGGGCTTCTTATTTCTATGTTTGGATATATTTACCTTAAAAAAATTAAATACCTGTAAGAGTTTTGTAAAAGTTTTGAAGTGAAGCTGTTTCTCTGAACTCTGAACTAGTGACCTGTTTTGCTCTCAGCTTCAGAACTGGCCAGAAGCCCTGTGCTTTGCTCTCTACCCCATAGCATTCAGCAGCTCAGCCCTGGCTTCATTCTGTTTCTCACAACCAAACAGTAGGGCTGGACATGTACATTATTCATAGCATTTAAGCCTTTATCTGCAAAGCAAGTGATAACTTATACTACATGGAGTTAGGTATCTTTTCCAACAGCAGCACACACCTCTAGCTCGTATCAGAAAATGGACTGCATCTGGCATTGCAGCTGGGACTGATGCTCACGACCTGGGCACTATATACAAGGAATAAAGAAGTTGCAATGGAATGGAAACCTTATGGTACTTTTCTAGCTACAGCTCTTAGAGCTAAAGCCTTCAAATTCTGTCAGGTGTTGTTCAGAATATGGCGTCTAATTCAGCAGTTAGACAGTGATGGCAGGGTTGATCTGGGCAATACCAGCTCCAGCAGTGCAGCCATGAGCTGACATAAGACTTTCTTCCTGAAGGCATACACAGTATAAAAGGGGGGGAGGGGTCTGGGAAGATAATTCAAACGGCTGCAAGGATGAGGCTCACCAGGGGAAAGTAATGTGACAGATCTGGGGTTCTGTATTTTACTTCATCAGTCCACGTATTGTAATTTTTCCTGACTACAGTAAGATTCCTTCAATGAATTGCCACTTTGACCAACCACATTCCAGGAATCCATAGCCGTTTGTTCTATTTTTGCTGCTGGTTTTGTAATGCTTATTCCATTGCCAAGAGATTACTTGTAGGTGTCAATTATGATGGAACATAGGCTGCCTCCTAGAGACGTAAAAAAATAAGTGGCAGAGTTTCAACCCAGATCTGCACTCTAAGCCTCCAGCGTAGGCACAGGTTTAGGTCAGGCAGCAGTGATGTACAAACACAGCCCATGTAGGTATCACCAGAGCAGCTGACAGGGGTGACCCTCACATGCTGCCAGACATGTCTAGTTTCTGTACTTTACTGGATCCATCATTCTTAAGGCTGCTCCTTTCTTCCTAAAACTCAGCTATTACAGGATATCCTTCACTCTCAAAAATCCATTAATCTCCATGCTTTCATCAGCTTGAGGTGAATGAGCTGCAAGGTTCCTCCTCAGGGCTGCACACAGACCTTTTCTCTCAGTGAGGTTACTCATGAGCACATTCTTTGTTCCTCGTCCATCTCTGCTGTTACTGCTTCAATTTCCACATGTGCAATACACACATTGCTTAGTCTTTCATGTCCTGCAGCTCTGACCACCCAACCCAGGAGACCACCTGGAAGAGGACTAGGGAGCTTGGACCCTTGTCCTCCGCAGGTTTCCCTGGTGCCCCCCAGCAGCCGTAGCCTTAGAGGCTCACTCCCTCTGCTGGTGCTCCTGAGCTGCAGCTGGGCCATCTCAGGCACCAAAGGAGAGGTTGTTCATTCGGTTGAGGCTTCTGGTTAACCTCTTCCTCCAGTGTGGATGATGTCATTCACTCTCTTAAAACTCTTTTGTATATAACCCTGAGCTGTTTGGATTCTGGAAGAGGTGCTTCAAGAGCTTTTCCAATCCAGTTGTGCTGTGTTGACATCTGTGTTGTCACCAGTCCAATTGCAAGAAAAATGGGGGGGAAAAAAGAGAAGGAAAGTAGAATGTATTTCTTCAGGCTTGGTTTTTAAGCCCAAACGCAAAATTTAAGTTTAAGCATTTTGTGGAAGGCTAAAAAGAAATCTACTCAGGCTGATAATCATCTAAGCTCAGAGCTAAGAGAACAACAGCAACACAACTGCATGAGCAGTGTCAGGATCAGCAGGATGGTCAGGACCAACACACAAAGTTCAGCCATATGAGGAGCCAAAGAGCATCTCAGGTCTCCTACATCATAGGCAGTGCTCTGTATCCTCGCTGACCCAGAGTGCTGCTTTTCACTGAAGGAAGTCTATGCATGTTGAAGTCCTTTGCTTAAAAAGTTAACTGCATGCTTTTCTGAGTAAGAGCTTGTCAGTTCAGAGTACTAAATGATTCTTAGTTCATCCACTGCTTTAGTTCTAGGCCTTAGACCTCATGAAAAAAATCCATCTCTTCGCTTTCTAAATCCTTTCAGGTAATTCAAACCTGCTTCACTGTCAGTGAATGATTTGTTGTTCTTCATAGGTTTGGTCTTGTTCTTAAAATGTTTTGGCTATATTAATATTTTAAATAAGTTCTGGAGTCCTATGACAGCACACTAGGTAATGATCATTACCTAGTGTTTGCAGCCTGTCTTTTCAGGACTTTGAGCCAGTGTATTATCAGATCTGCTATCCTCAGTAGGAATGGAATGTATATATGTGTGCTGTATCCTGTACTTGCTACATATGCAGTTACCTCCTCCCCTACACTTCATGGAAACTGTGTACATTTAGTTGACAGCATAATCTGTACAAGCACACCACTGCCAGCACACAAATGCACCTGCATGTTGAAATCTCACTCAAAATGTCTGATCTCAAGCCCTTGAGAAAATAGTTTCATTTCTCTAACACTGACAGTATTTTAGAAAATTTTAACACTTTAATGAACTGTTTTAGGAAGAGAAAATGGTTTAGACATTTTACCATCCTTACACAACTGTCAACATATTCAGCCAGTATTATTTAAAACATTTATTACAATGGTTTGGAAAACATTTTTAACCTCTATGAATAAGATGTGTATTTAGCTCTGCTTATGACCTAACCCAGCAAAGACCTTTTCAAACACAAGCATGGGATTTTTTGAAGTGATCCAAGTGCTTTGCTGGACCATGGCCTTATTCCTCAATTCCCACATGTCCTGTTCATGAAGCCTATTCAGGGCTTCAGAACTGCTCCCAGTATATTTCACTGACAGCTTAAAAACAAGGAGGATATGTAAGAAAGATTTCCTACTGTCTTGCACCTCCTTTCACTCAGGTTTTAGAGTTTATTCCTGTTCACCAAAACAACTCCTAGTTAGATATGCTGGATTTTGATTTCATTCCTTAAGGTACTTTTTTGCCATCTTTTTCATCTTGTTCATTCATTGTACTTAGCAAGTTTGAGCCTCGGTATGATGTTCATGGACTGCAGTTCTTGGAATAAGAGTTTACAGGCATAAGGTATGCGCAGGGAAGACACATGACATGAAGATTTGCAGTAGTGGCACCTAGGGAAACAAACAAAAAGTTAAGAGTAGGTCAGTAACTTCTGCTGAAAAACCCAATTGCCACCAGCCACTGTTGTTTTATCCATCTGCATTTAAACACTGGCCATAGTCCTAGAAGCACCAAATGCGTGAGACACATTTTAGTGCTTAAGTCATAGCTTTAAAGTCCTTAAATAATCTGACAGAAATCAATAGGAGCTTAATGTTAAACCTGCACTTTTCTAGGAGGGCAATCACTCAATGCTCAGGAGCTAACAGGACTGACTTCTGCTTCTTCAGCATTCACATAAATGTCAGCAAATTCAGCACTGCATACTGGCAGAAAGGAAAGTGCTTCTGAAAAAATGGTTAATGGTCCAATTTCTGTGCTACATGTATGTTACAAAAAGAAGAGTCAGGAAGAAAGAAGGTTTTTAATATGCAATTTCACCCTATAATGTCTCAAATCATTACACTTTCCAGAAAAGAGGCCCTTCTCATCTTACATCTTTAAACTTTAGTCAGCATAGAAACTCAGTAAAATTGCTTTAACACATATTCTTTGTGCTCTTTGCTCTAATGATCTTAAAATTCAGAGAGAAAGGAATTTTTTTGTCAAATAGATATAACCATGACTATATAAGGAACAAATAGGCTAGTCAGCCATCTTTACAGTACTGGGACTCCAATTCAGTGGTGGTAGAAAATATTTCTTATAAAAATCAATTTCCAACCTCCCTATTTCTTTATTCTCCTGTATATTAATTTTTCTGGTTTTGGAGAGTTGAGAAAGCCACTCCTTTGGAACACAGAGTGACTCAGCACTTCCTAATGGTTTAACAAAGATCCTTTTTTTTTTTGTTCCTGTGTTTCAAATTTATATTTCTGCCATAAAGTCGTAACAGTCTGCAGAGCCAATTAAGGAAGAATTAGCAAAACTCCTACAGGCTTCCATGGTACAGAATGAGGCTCACAGTCAAGACAGGTTTATAACTACACTCCCTTAGTCCATATTTATAGGGACACAACTTCTCTGCTATGAGCACCTCCTAGGGACTGAGGAGCAGAGACTACTCACTGCAGCCAAGCTCAAAGCTATGCCATTCTGGGCCTGCTTTGTACTTGATGGGGACCACCCAGAGAAGTGCAGTAAGCACAAACCTCCATCAAACAGAGATCATGGAAACAAGTACATGAAGGACCATTTAGTATTAGAATTGACACTAAACTGGTCAGAAAAAGGCAACTGTACCATTCAAGGCTGAATCTGGACCAGAAATAAAATTTTCATGTACAGTTTAAAATGCACATACTACAGAGATCAGAATAACTTATCATCAAAAAAGGACCAAATTCTGCTCATTGCGTTCAGTGCAGTTCTGCTCCTAAGCACCTGTGCAACAGCTAAGCTGGAAAATCTGCATAAACACAGTAAATCATAGTAAGTTTCAACCACTTTTTTTACAGGGATAAATTCTGTCACTGCTACAAGAGTCCTTCTCCCCTGTGAAAATACCAGTTCAGGCCCCAACACTGATCTGCTGTTACTATCTTGCAGAAAAAAGTACCCAGGGGCTAGTCCTTGTCTGAGAGGAAGGGCTCATCTTCCATAAGTCAAGCGCCCTTAATGCCAGCCACAAACAATGTTTCTAAAAGGTTTCTTGCAGCAATGTCTTATTAATGCCTGAGTCACTGAAAAGGTCCATTTGGAAGTTTCTCTTAATGAGTTCGTCTCTACTGTGATGCTCGTTATAGGGCTACTTACCTCAGATACTGGTAGACAGTATAAAATTTAGCAGAAGCTCTCTTATTGATTACTCTCACACATCAGACAGCTTTTCATAGAATCAGATTGCAAGAATGTCTGGCTCTGTCTGAGCCAGTAACTTCTTTCACAATTATTTAAGGAGTTACTTAACTTTGCTACGAACTTCAAAAAATTGAATTGTATTAGCAACACCTTAAAAATAAAATGTAGTATTACTTCTGAAGTTCAAATTCCTAATTTTCTTCAAGGTACTTTCACTTCCTGTGGACTCTGAAAATCTTCAAGGACTGCTCTGAAAGTCAAGGTCTTATTGAAAAAACAATAGAGCTACATCTGCAAGTGAGATTTTTTTAAGGGCAATGCTTTAAAGAGTTAGAAGTGGTTGGTTCTTTGACTTATGGCATGTCCCTCCTTTCACATTACTTCCTACATTTGTTATTTGCATTGCAGTAGTTTTTAGAGACCTGGCTCAGAAAAAAGCCTCCCTTCTTACATACACTGAACACACCCTCAAGAAAAAGAGGACTTTCAAAAAGGGTTATGGCACAAGAGCCAGCAGGACCATGCCCAGCTGAAGATCACCAATTTCAGGATGCCCAGAGAAGGGCTCATCTCTCCTCTGGATTACATGTATTTACCCTCCTCTGTCTGAACATCTGCTTCCCGAGGAGCAGAGCTGCTGCTGCTGTGGACAAAGGTGGTGCTTGGTTTCTGGCCAGAAGCTACATGTTTCAGAAGAAAGGTCTGACCAAGGGCAGAACTGTAGCTGTCACCTTTACACATCTACAAACTGAGAATACACCTTCCTTTCCTACTTCATTACATCATGGAAAAATCACTCTTGAGACACTGAAGTGAATAAATCCGATTTCCTGCCCCTCCCAATAAATTGATGCTGATATCCAAGACGTGACAAGTTTCCAACTGTGGTTTTTTTTGAGGTTTAGAAATTAATCTTTCTCCTCCTCCTTTTAATTCTCTATCTTTCCCAACATAAATATTAGAGTACCTTGTAACTTGAACTTGCACCATTTATTTTTTCTTCACTTAGTCATGGGATTTCAGGTCACCTGTTTTTGCAAAGCTTGCAAGAACATTGTACCTCAAACTCCTATTGGTCTCACAAGTCTGTTTTCTGCTTGCCTAAAACAAAACCAGGTCAAATCAAAACACCTCCCTCAGAGACCTCTAAGACTATAAAGAGAAGTCTGTTTATCTTCCAATAATAGTGGGTATTTTCAGCATGCTACAGGACAACTTTAAATCTAACATCTCAAAATTGCTAGAGAGAAGAGACAGAGCAAAACCCAGTGTGCTACATGTGGTGAGTTCCACACAGCTTTGATATTTAGTTTTATGCTTCCCCTACATGAAAAACCAGTTTGTTTTCAGGAGACCAACTCAGTACTGTGTTAGGTCTCAGAGTAAACCAGCAAGATCATTACATTAGCCAGTCTAGAGAGAAGTTTCCTAGAGATAAGGCATTCAGGCAGAAGCCAACTGAATTTCCAAACAGGCAGCTGCTTGACTCTCAAGCTCCAACATGGGATCAATGCACTTGCCTGATGCTTTGAGGAGGAACTCCTTGTTTCACAGGATTACAAAGCAAAAGGCATTTGGGAAGGGGACAGCCAAGAAAACCAAATGCATGGGATTATGAACACCATAGCTAGAGAACAAGAAAGCAGGGGATATTACTTTCTTCTCCTATTCTTCTGTGCCCGCGCTCACTCTTCAGCCCTGTCAGGTTCAACAGGGGATTCTAGCAGGAAGATGTGACTAGCCCAGCCGGTATCCTCATTTCTGCTGGCAGAACCAGCATTGCAGCTAGAGAACAAGAAAGCAGGGGATACTGCTTGAAAGCAGGGGATATTGCTTTCTTCTCCTATTCTTCTGTGCCCACTCTCACTCTTCAGCCCTGTCAGGTTCAACACGGGATTGTAGCAGGAAGATGTGACTAGCCCAGCCGGTATCCTCATTTCTGCTGGCAGAACCAGCATTGGCACTGCTGTTCTCCCCTTTTCAAAATACAGATGATATATGGGATTGGGTGCTTAGCAGTCCCTTGCAAGGGTGGGACGGAAGGTCAGCAGACAGACTGCAGGGAACAGTCTGGGTGTGGAAGAGAACACCTGTGCCCCCACAACAGGAGAGATCCCTGCCCCATTGACTACACAATTCAGTCCTAATTTCAATTAGACCACAATAAAGAACCATACCCTGTCACCAGTTTTCCAAATGACAATTTTTAACTTTTTAATTTAAGTGCATGCGATTGTTAATTGGTGCCTGTGAGCTCTTAAATCTGAGAAGCACTGCAACCAAGGGCAAGGTTCTGTTACACAGAGGCACTTGACAACTTACCATCCAGAGTACCCTAGCAAGCCGCACTGGCCACAAACATCCACTTCGAAGGCATCACTTGAAATCATCAGTCTCTCCAACAAAAGCATGCTGGCTCCATAACCTATCAAACAATCCCGTTCCATCTCTCCAAGACGTAAACCACCATCGCGGGATCGACCTTCAGTGGGTTGCCTTTGAAATAAATGTTTGAGAAATGTAGTAAGTACTCCAAAACATACATTCTGTGACTCTAGGCTGTCTTCAAACTGTAGGAACACCACAGGGTTCATGGGCTTTACAAACCAGAGTTGCTGATCTCACAAATGTGTTGCTCCTGTACCTGCAGTATGATGCAGTTATGTAAGTGGCAACTGCAGCACCAGGCCACAGCTCTTTAACTCTCAGAATGAATAAGTGAAAACAAAAAGATTTCTAAGATATCCAAGACAATCTGGACACAGATTTGGCACTCTTTCTTGATGAGACATTATCGTTTGTAGCTAACAAAAATGAAACAATATTCAGTTAGTTAGTTCATTAGCAGTTAATGAATCAATCATCAACCTAATGTTTCAGCTGAACCATAGCTAAGGCTAATATCTAAAATAAAGATGATTTTGATCTGTGCAACAACACTAAAATAAGTCAGCAAACAGGTAGTAAACATGTCGCTAACTCATGACTGAAATGGTATTTTTTTTAAAGTAACATTTATCTAATTTATTTTTTTCATATATGATGGTTAATAGACTCATTTTTGTGTTCTGTAGGTTCCTTTACACAAGTCAAACTCTTATTTATTGTCTGGGGAGACTTCCTGTCCTTTTTGCAGGAGAGGAAAATTTTAATAAAGCAATCAAGTATACATTAAAGATTTTGAAGTAAAAAATAAGGTACTGTATATAATCTAACATTAAGACCGCGTAAGACAATTTTTTTGTTGGACATTATCAAAACTTTTAACCTCTTGTTCATCATTCTGCAGTTTCATAGTATCAGTTCTACTCTCATGTACCAGCACAATGATGCAATACTAACATTGGAAATATCAGAGCAAACTATGAAGCAAAAACAATCTTGAATTTCTACAGCACTAATATACTGCATGCATTTTAATGAATATTTCTATCTTAGTATATTCCCTGAAACATGACAGCAAAGAGAAGGAACTTAAGTTACTGAGCTTCACTGCTCCCTGAAACCTCATGTTTATGTGCTGTTTCTGACACTTGTAGCAGTGTAATCCACCTAAAATGTTCAACGATAGATCCGGCCCATTACTTTTGGAGTATATTTTGTTTCTATTATTTCTAACAACTGAATTTGTTAAGCTTACTAAAGATAATAAAAATAAGATTTTGCCAACTTGCTGCCAACCACAGGAAAGAATTTATAAAAGCCTTCAACATCTAATAATCTTTTGTAACATGTAAAAACGAACCTAATTACCAGACCAAAATACCTTCTAAAGATGCAAGTTGTATTTGTTTTTAGGGGCAAGTAGTTTCTCTTATTCTGCCCACACTGGAACCTTAAAACGAATCTGCTTGTAATTCAAATTGTCCTTTTCATTCATATAACCTTCTGCTTTTCCCACTGTTGGGAGAATGGATAGAAGTTGTTTACATCCTGATTAAACTCCCCAGGGTGGGTTCAGCTGAACGGTCTTACTCCTTGTTTCACTGGCCAGTGGGGGAAATAAGTCTGCCTCCATGGTCTCAGCAGATCTCCCTTGTGCCTGCTAGGGAAAACAAGTGACTAGTTTGAATGGAGTTGTTTGCTGAAGCACTGATCTCCAAGAAGTGAAACATTACTTAAAAGCCCTGCCTGAAGGAGGAGGGCATCCCATGCTGGCAGAGCCCTGAGCGTTGTTTGTCCCATTGCTCCCCCGCAGCACAACAGGACCTGGCACATCTGACATGTCCAAAGACACACAGGTGGCAGCTCTGACACTGTCCATCAAAACAACTCTGCAGGCAGAAAGCTTGCATTGCTCTCTTGTAAGAAAAATTAAAAGCAGGTTATCTATTAAAAAGATTCAGCAGGACTGGGTATCTGAGCAACACCACACATAGAACTGTGTTACACATTAATTGTCAACTATACCCATGGCATTGAAATTAAGGATTGCATTTCATTTCCAGTACCAGTCCAGAGGGCAACATCCTGGTGGGTTTGACTGTGTTGACAACGAGTGCAGCTTAGAAATTCTGCAAAGTCTTGTTTTAATCAGAACAATAGCTAGAATCAGTGATGATCAAGAAGCTCAAGTATTCTGCCTTATTCCAGATGGAAATACAGCTTTGCTCTGTCACTTAGGGTACATTTGATATATAATAAAATGCATTTCAAGACAATGACAGCCAAATTCTACATTTGAAGCTGTTACAGGATTACTTTTAAAATCAAAAAAAGAATGTTAGATGCAATCTACTCTCCAGGAAGTGCAGTGGATGATAAAACAATAGCGAATATGCAAGCTGGCAATGCCGACTCTCTCAGCAGAGGCAACGGCAGTAACGAATGCTTAATTATTTGAGGAGAAAAAAGAAAATTCCTGAAAAACTAGCCAAGAGGCAGTATAAATTGAACATCCACTAGCTTTCCTGGAAGTCAAATAAGGAACCCTAATTAAATAGTATGCTGTTACTGACTGAACAAAGAATTTGCAGAAAGGAAGGGATGGGGGAAATCACACAACCTTCATCTTTACACATAAACATTATAGTGACTTGGTATTTAGGTTTCATTTAAATTCAGTGTCTCTGAACAGCTGAGAAGTTGGGGAGGCAATACAAAGGCAGATCAAGTGATTTGGGTAAGCCAGGAGTTCTAGTAAATCCTGTGTACTCTTAGCTAAGATAGAGAGTTTTCACTTTCATGTGAAGGACCAATATAATGCTTAACACACTGAAGAACAGAAAATGGAGCAGACAGACTATTATTTGGGAATATCATTTATGTTCACATAGGCAAGCAGCTCTGGTTGTACTACACCTCCTTTTCTCAATGTGGTTGATGTAAAAGTTCAGACAAGAGTTACAAAATCTTTTTACGATTTCTTTCCCAGTTCAACCATTGATATTTAATTCCATGGAAAGCATAAGTTTGTCCTATAGACAGTGTGAGATTGGAAAGCAAAAAGGCATAGAAAATAAGCAATGAAAAGCGAAATAAGAAGACACCTCTGTATCAAGTACAGCAGAGTACAGTACACCTCCTTTCTCTAGCAGCACATCAATAGGTAGAAGCTGCACTTAGTAAGAGCTGTTGTGAAGCCAGGCAAAGCAAGAGTGGTGGATCCTCACATGATCAGAGGCATAAAAATAAATGAAGAATTAAAGAATACAAATCATAGTTGTTATAGGGAAGAGTAAGGGACAGACATGACTGTGCTTACACCTTACAAACACTACAAAGATTGCCATGGTCAGAATCAGCACATGCTTTCAATGGTCAAAAAGAAAAATATCACCATGCAGGAGGTGAGGTATAAGGGCCTACAAAATAGCCCAGAGAGACTGGCAAAAGACATTTGGAATAATCTTCTAAGATTAGCTGGAATTTAATTTTCTGGCAAGTTTCAGTAAATAATCCTATTGTGATGGAGAGAGGTGAACTAAATGACCTTAGAAGCATCCCCAAAGCAAAGCCTGTGCCACAGAACTCTTTTTAGTGAGCAAAGAAAATCAGAAACTTTGAACAAGAGTGCAAGGAGACACAGACCTTGGTTTTAAGTATAAAAAGTAAGTAGCACCAGTAAAACCAGGAGGCTTCAATTTCCCCAAAGGGCTTCTCAAAGTATGTTGAAATATTAGACCATACTTTAAAATTTCTTCCTTCTACTCATAACTGATTTTGTTAAAGAAAAATACCTACAATATGAGCTAAAATACCTAACAAACCTCTTAAAATACTTATGATATGAGCAATTTGACAGGAAGGGCCCAGATTGGGTACTGTGAATCAGAGATGATGTTTTTACCACCTGCTAGCAGAAGTTTGAGAAGCAAACTCAAGTTTTGAACCTCACAGAACACACCTGAACCTCCAGAACAACCTCCTGCCACTGTCAATTTTTGTCTGCAACAACATAATTACAGTTCAGAGCATTTCATGCCAAGTATCTCAAAGTAAAAAAGCTTAGTTTTGCAGCAATCAGTCAGCTGGGCATACTTCTGCATGTACACAAGAATTTTGTGCTTAGCTTGTAATAATACCTGGTGAGCACTGCTCTGGGTCCTCGAGCTCTTGCATGCATTTTATCCAACACCATGTGCTTCAGTTTCTGGTAATACACAGGACCAAAATAGATATATGCCTCCAAAGGCTCCCTGAAAGAATAAAAAGCAAATCAAAACTGACAACCACAGTTAGCACACATCTACCTTAAGAGAGGCAAGGGTGTCATGTACAGCAGAAATGCGAAACAATTTGGAAATAATGAATCCTAGAAAAATGTCGTTGGGCTTTCTGGGCAACCAGTCTGAAACCTCTTCCAGGGAAATCTTCTGAACACAGGGGCAGTACTCCGCCAGCACCACATGCTGCTGTCTCCACTGCAGCAAGGAACAAGCTCCTGAACTCTGGTCTCATGCTGTGCAAACATGCTGCTACAGCTGCAGGTACCTGTGTCAGCTGTTTCATGGTAAGCCCCTCCCCTGTATCTGTACAGGAGTGTTTCAACAGTGTCATCAGTAGCCAGGAAGGACTGTAAATGTCTCAGACTCTGAAGAGTGACTTAGGGTATTTCTGTTTACATTCCTTCATAAAGGTAAGGATGTATGTAAGCAAATACATCCAGCATAAATGCTCAAAACATCCTTTTTGTAGGAGCACTTTAAGAAATTTGCATTTGCAAGAATCGCTTAGCACTGTGAGCCTGACAGTGTCCACATGCACTGGTTCTCCCTGCACAGCACCCTGAGGCACAGCCCAAGGCCCAGATGGGTGAGAGCCCTCCTTGAGTGGCTGTGCATCAGCCCTGGCAGCACTGCCCAGCAGCTGCAGCCAGGGGACAAAGACTGCTACCCTGGCTGGCACTGGGGGCTGAGATGAGCTGGGTGAAGGGCTCTTGAGAACTGTATTTAGGCACTTTCATCAGCTTGAGAACATCTGTGAGCGGTACAGAGGGTGTTACTCCATTCTGTGAGCTGGAGTATGGCTAAAGATTTCTGTGTTTAAAACACCCCCAACTGTAAGAAGAGTGTAAACGCCTAAGGATCAGAAAGCAGCCAGTGAAAAGCACTCAGTCGTTTCCCAGCTTGCACCTTCAGCCAGCTATCACCTACAGCACTAAGAATGACCAGAGTTAACAATGACAGACTCAGCATGGCCACTAATTTGTTTGAGAAAAAAAAAGGTAAAACGCAATGTAAAAACAAGCAAGAGACAACAGTATTATATACCCTTCAGAGTAATTACTGACATTATGCAGTGTTATTCCAAAAGTCGATTATTGAAGAAAATAATAAAACTTCATTAGACATTTGAAATCCACAAGCTTTCACATTCTTATGAAATCTGCCTTCAAATTTCATAACAAATTAAGCATGCGTAATTTGCCTGGAAAAAAGTATCAGTATCCTTAAACAAAGTCTCTAAATAGGGCACTTCAAAGTTGAAGTTCAGGGGACAGGGGATTTTTATTCTCCCTAGGAAACATGATTAATCAGATTTTTTTAAAAGCCACCATGATATACAAACAGGAAGTGTTTCAAGCACCAGGATACTTGATATACAATTTATGGAATATGGAGTGAATAAGGAAAATAAAATTGTATCTCTGAAACAAAAAGAGAAGCAACTTGTGGAATAAGTTGGTAGGAAAGGCAATTAAAATAAAAAGTATATTAAGAAAACTCACAAAAGAGATCTAAACTTGCTTCTTGAGAAGAAGGGGACTGGAAGGATAATAAAAATAGCAGGAAAGTAGGATTAAGATACATTTTGGAAGGGCAGGCATGTGAAGCCATATGGCCTTTTCCTGTTCCTAAACTATCTTATGTTCTTTGAACTCTGTGTCTCAGAAGCCAGTCTGATCAACACAGCAGGAAGTTTGCAGATTAGAGTATTATGCCAGACTGAAACATTGTGTAATCGAAAGAAAAAAAAAGGAAAAAGGAAAAAAGAGCACACACAAAATATTCCCAAGAACAGATGCTTGCCTCCAAATCCATATTTACAGTACTATTAAAGTCAACATGAAAATGCTTATCTGATTCCAAACATATGCAACACTTTCTGCTGACAGAAATCTGAAATTTTTTCTATCTCTCAACAAGAAAGCCTTGGTTTTAAGCTTTTTTTTTCTGCCAGGCAGTAAAACTTCAGAAATTTTCATATGTACCACAAGGGCCATTCCCATTACAGCCACACATACACTAGCCATTTTTTAAATGTGGAACCACAAAATGCTTCTAAGAAAAAAACCCCCAAAAAACGTACCCTAGTCTTCAGCCTCTTTTCTCAATCTAACAGAGCAGTTCTCAAACAAGAGAAACTTCCCAAGCTCTGAGACATGAGAAGATTTTTCAGATGTGCCTCAACAGGATTTCCCCACTCTCCTGAAACACCTAAATCTAAAGAGCAGATTCTTACCCCGTGATCCCAGATGTTACATAGTCCTTCCCCAGGTAGTTATAACCATGGCGAATGAGATCTTCACACACATCCTTAACTTTACTGCCGCCAAAAGCCGTTCCATAGTGAAATCTGCCATCCAGCACCCCAGCCTTTCCAGCCAGGAGTTCAATCAGCTTTCCTACCTGTGAAAGAAAAGCAGAATTAGCAGCCTGGTCATTGGGACAGGCACATTCCTGGATTGCTCACAGCACAAGTTAGTCAGAGAAAGTGTCCCAGATGGCAGCCTGGGCTACTGCATGCACAGGAGGAGTGGAAGAAGCCCAAAGAGCCAGGATTACTCCTGTGTGAAGGGGAAAACTGGACTCATTACAGGGTCTGGGAACACCCTTAAGGTATTAAGTCAAGCAGTTCCACTTCTTCCAGTTATCTGAAAAATGGGCAGGATCCATGGGACCTTCTGCTGTGGGAAACAGCCATGGAGACTGATTTGCTGCAGTGCAGCAGGGGGAACAGAAGGGAAGATGCTAACAAAGGAAGAAACATCAGAGACTGTATGAAGGGAGCACTGAGGTCCCACCAAAAGGCCAGGCAGTTAGGTGTTTAGCAGGCAGTGACTCTGCAGGACAGGTGCAAGACTCTCCTCAGTTCCAGGGAGGTGTGTATAACTTAAGAAGTTCTACAGGTCTGGATCTATAATTGAAGCTCCTCTCCAACCTTCACCTCAGTCTGCCCCAGCCAGATTAGTGGGCATAGGCAACAGATACGGAAGAACAATAGATTTTCAAACACAAAGGGTGCAAGTGAAGTATTCAGTAGCATCCCTCTTAGCTTGACACAGAACAAAATGGGAATGATGCACAAAGAGCTTCAACCCTGCTCCTTTTACAGTAGGATGTTTCAAAATTGTGAAACAGAGGGCTGACTACTCAGAGCAGAGCAAGCACTGGCATGATGACTGGAGAATATTCTCAGTGAAATCACACTTCAAGCTTTTTGTCTCTAGTGGCTGATCCCTTCTCCTTCCCTCTTGGGGGACAGTGTTGTGTGAATGGAGCAGCCCCACTCACCGTCATACGCGATGGGAAGCCGTGAGGGTTCATTATGATATCTGGGCAGATCCCTGTATCACAAAACGGCATGTCCTCCTGAGGAACAATCAGTCCACACACCCCTGCAGAAGAGAAAACATTTCAATTCACAAAACAGCAAACCACCAGCAGGGCTGACGCTCATCACCAGATTTTCTTTAGTGTTTTCCTCCTCCTCCCTTTCTCATGGATCACTTTTTACCCAGACTCATTACCATGACCAGTACGCCCAACCTGCAAACTAGAAGAGAGCCCTTGTGACAGGGCTGGCAAAATTAGCATACCCTTATATAATGTTCCCAGTGATTTGTGAGTTAGCAAATTAGGGAAGAAAGCTTTGGATCTTATTTTCAGAAGCAACTAGAAACTTCTGTCCAATCAGACTGGAATATCCCAAGAGAGACCCAGTTTTCAATGCTGATGCTATAATTTCCTGAAAGAAAAAAAACTCAGAAGTTTGGCCTCTAAAGTTATGCCTTTGGACACAAAGAATTATTATTTATTTTAATTTTATTTATAATATGTATCTTTGCTAAATACTGTCAATAAAAACACATCAAATGGGACTTTGACAGGGATAAGTAGAGGAAAATAAATAAAAAATAACAAAGATTTTTTTCAGGTAACATCTGTTTGCTGAGCAAAGACTGCCATCAATGAATTACAAAGCGCAATCCATTCCACAGGCTGCTATTATTTTGTCAGTCCATTAACATGACCTGTCCCTTTAAAAGTTTTGGAAGCTTTTTTCAGTCTCTATCAGTATTGGATATAAAACAAAGAAAATCCTCTAAAAAAACTCTAAAAATATTGCAGAAAGAATAAACAGAAACATGAAGACTCATTTTAAATATCCATCATGCATCTCAAGATTTTCCTTCCAACCCTTATAACTTTCCACAGTGAATTCTGCAGTTCAACATGCTGCAGCTATAAACAATCAAGAGATCTAACATTCAAATTCAGGTGCTAAAATGCAGCTGCTTAAGCCCCTACTCCTTTGAACCAAAGCTACTGTTTCAGCTGGACAATTTCTTCCAGAAGCCCTTAGAGCTGAAAAAGTCTGCAAGCTATTTGAGATCAGCCTGCTGCAACTGTGCCAGAGCATGCTTTGGGAACAGTCCTGGAGTGGAGGGGGCTCCTGGAAGACTGAGGGTACTGCTTACATCCCTAAGAAGGCATCCCCCGACCAGCCAGTTCACAGGGGGATATCGGCGTCTGCTCAGGAGGGAGCTCCTCTTCCACCGTCCAAGCAAGACAGGGATAGGTGTATGGGACAGTAGCTAATAGAATGAGAATGATAAGTATGGGGGAAGGGAGCAGAAAGAAAATGTCTGGGGCAAGGGTGTGTGTGCTGTTTTATTTTGTTTTTAAACCTATTGAAACTAATTTTCATTGTTCTACTGTGATAAATCAATAACATCCTTCCAACCCTCCCTGCCAAGGAGCAACCATTTGCTGAAAAAAACAAAACAACTCAAACCAACCCACTATCTCTTCCTTACACAGCTTTTTTTTTACCCTAAAATTTTATACACAAATACTCTGTTACATGTGTATTATTGTGCATACATTCTGCCTTATTTGCATTAACATCTAAGAAAGCATTAGGTTGCATCTGGACTTCACGGCACCTGTAAGCCAAGAATTAAATCTCAGCTAACTTAAAATTACTTTAGGCTCTGCAAACCTTTTATATGCCAAGCTGGTTCCCATAGCAGACAGCCACTGTGTTGTTTGTTTTGTGTGAAAGTGAATGATAAAAGATCCATGAAATCGACACAGAAAGGCAGAACAGCAGAAAGAACTGAGGGCTCTCCATCATAGCGGCTTCTACCCTCCGCTGACTTGTGTAACAATAGGACCTACACACCCAACTGCAGATCTAACACAGCTGTGCATTTCATTAGATGAAGAGCACTAGTGACACAAGTAAATAATTAACTTATTCTGGTCCGCTGACTGTGGTTATGAGACCAGTCATAGCTGACAGATTTTAATACAAGTTAACACAAAGACAGCATAATGAGCTTAGAAGTTAAAAACAAAATATTTAGACAGAATCCAGAAATGCGAAGCTTACTAGGCCATTTATAAAGTTTCTATTTTACAGAGAGGGGAAAAAAAAAAGGGAAAAAAGAAAAAAGGGAAAGCTATAAAGCCTCAGTTCTAAGCTTCTGTATTTTAAGAAGTTGCTGAGCCTGTAGCAGATCTACAGCATGTCTGTGTGTATTTAGAGGACAGAGAAGCTTCCTCCTACCCTGTGTTTTAAGAAAGTTCATTCAACTGTTAAAAAGCTGAAAGATATCTTTCCTATATACAATGCTACTTCTAAAAGTAAGTAACTGCAATTAATTCAAAATGTAAACTTGATTTTATTTAGCAACTGCTTGCTTTCAGAAGCTCTTTAGGAGACTAATGCTCGCAGATCTGCACTTTAAGCTCCTCAATTTGCTACTTTTTATTTTTTTGGAGCAGAGCAGTAGCAGGCAAGCCAACAGCTGCAAAAAAGTGACCAAGTGAATTAATCCATGTAAGTAGAATTACCACTTGCAACTGGCCAATAAAACAGTAAAGGAGAGGAAGCTGGATTTAAAACAGCCTCAAGTTCCAAACCCTGTTAAAGTATGAACTGCATTTCACAAATGAGCTGCTTGACTATACCCCATACAATATTCATAAATAAGGCACACTCAAACTAGGAATCTGTTTTGCTCTGTGGCTCTTACTAGAGATGACGATTTCTTAATTGTTACTGATTTAGACATCACATGAAAATTGATCCTCAGCATTCATAGAGGACACATGGAATAATTTGGTTTCATTCACTTCCCTTCCTCTCACAATTTTTATGTGCTGCATCTGGAATTGAGTAATACAACTTGAGACTAAATTCTATATTGCAGTGGGGCTGAATGGCTCTCACCTATACATTCTGGTGTCTCATCTGGGACCAGAATCAAGTGCTAACAACCAGAAAAGGCTGCAGACAAAACAAAAACCAAAATCTGTTTTTTAATGTGGATTAACAAAATGGTTATGTACTTGAGCAAGAAAGCACCTAGCAACTTGCTACATCTAATTTCATTTGAAAAACAAATTAAATTCTAGAAAAAAAACCCCAACTTCTCTGTATCTATTTTATAATAAGTGACCTTAGGAAGAAAATCAGTAAAAATGCTAAGAAATTCTTTTACAATATCAAAAAGGCAAAAAACCTGGAATAATAAGCATGGCAGCTTAATGCAAGGGTAACAGTTTAAATTAGAGTAACCTTAAATCAGACATCCACAGTGGTTTAACATGCAAGTATAAAACAGCCATAGGCAGTGTTTTTCAATGCTATTGTATGGCAGCCAATAAATGACAGTCCCCTGACTATGCACAATGGCCCCCAGCCCCACACACGCTATCTGCATCAATGCTGACAGCATCTCAAACCCATGTACCTCCACAAGGCACTGACAGCATAAAGAGCCCCTCGCCCCTGTACTTTTGTCTGAGTTTCTTTTCCTAATCAGGAGAAACTCAGGTTTCCAGGGCTGGTACCTTTCGTGTGGCTGCTTTTACAGTTTGCTGACAAACAGGAGCACAGCCGGACTAAAAGCGCGGCTCGGCGCAGAGGGGGAAGGGGGCGGCCGGGAGGGGGCAGGGACACAACACAACACTCTGGGAAAGTTTTTCACCAGGCTACGATAAGGTTCCTTCTATACACACACATGCCAAATGAAAAAAAAAAAATCATCAAATAAGTCAAAACAACCTAATATAGAAAACTAATTACTAGCAGCAGGAGGGACATTAGAGAGCAAAGGAGACGACATGAATAGAAGCAGCAGCAATACCAGTTTCTATCAGCAAGATAAAAAGAAGCGCATTACTAAACGTGCTTGTTTACTCCTTCTAATGATACGGTGGTAAAAGAGCTAAAACTGACTTGAAAGGCGTCTATTTTAGCTTTGCCAGATTTGCCAGAATTTGGAAATTATTACTCTTGAGAAATAAGACAACATCACATAATTAAGCGAAGTTGTAGCAGTAACACAGCGCTGTATGTTACGGACAAGTGACAGATTTGCAAAAATTAGTAAGGCTGAACAACGAATGTGCAGCTGCTTCAAAACTCTCTAATTACATACTGTGTTGGCTAACTAAGCATAAAAGAAGTCTAGAAGAAAAAAGTGCTGCATCACATAAGCTTTGTTCAATATTGAATCATTCACTGATCTATCATATCACTTGCTACATCCCATTTGACATAAGAGGTAAAGAACAGAATTAAAATTAACAGATAAATAATGCATAAGTAAACTTGATTAGTTTTCTTATTAAAAACATCACTCTAAATGAGAGGAGGTGCTAGAAGACAATACAGTTTGTACACTGCTTTCCCATGAGCTGCTGAATGGTCTGATGTGATAAATTTGCATAGTCTGAAGCACACAAAGAGCTGATTAATTGAAACCCTTACAATGCTTCTGGAAGCAGCTATTGTAAAACAATAACCATAGGAACTTTACAAAATACACATGGCTGAATGAGTCAAGAGCTTAATAAAATGCGTGTTCAGGATACACTATTTGGAAACAGAATTAGAGATTTTTATTCTGTGCCATAAAATGCTAAATCACGCTAATTTCAGAAGTTCAGTTGAGGATTTACTGAAAAGGTCAGAAGGTTACCTGTTTGCTGTTTAAGATAAAAAATGCTGTAATTTTCTTCTTAAGACAGCAAGCTAAGCAGCGGTTTTGTTAAAAATAAACAGAAAAAAATTTGGGAAGTTTTAATGGCATTCTGACATTTTCTCAAATTCAACTTCTGAAGATGAAAACATGGTAAGAAATCCCTACCTTCCCTGCTGCCTAATAACTACTAATCATCTGACATTCCTAGAGTCGATTAAGAGCAAATTCTTTTTAATGCCACTTCAACCATTTAATTACTATAAACCCACTGACGTTCTATTAGAGATAAAGTACTAATTCTGAATTGTAACATGGGGGGAAATTACACAAGTAGCCATTTAAAATAAACGTTTTATTTTAAATGTTCTGCTTATCTGTACTGTACAAATGCCCATTAAAAGGAAAAAGATAAGTTGATCTCCACTATGAAGTTAGGAAAGCAGATGGAAGATGCTCAAACTAATAAAAATTTCAAAAAGTAAGCAAGGTCAGACTTTGCTAGATGAGAGGGACTGTCATGAAGTTTATGTAGTTGATAATGCAGTGAATGGATTTTGTTTTGACACTAAAGAACATGGTTCATTTAGGAAAACAAAAACCATCTTTCATGAATTTAAACTTGCTTCCTTGTCTTTAGAGTTGTTTAAGTGCAGATACTTCAGAAAGGTTTAATCCTTATCTTAGATCTTCAGCTATTAAAAAGCTTCTGTTTGCTAGTTCAAACAATCTCTTGCTTAAATACAGTTTTTCCACTCCTCAGGAATACTGTTCAGTATTGCTGCTTAGTTCTGTGATCTACAGGACCTTTGTTGGAGGTGTTAATCCTTTTTCACATGAGAGACTGAGAAATGTTCTTTCAGAGAAGTGTTATATTGCTTTTTTTCACATCAAAGGAGCCCAACTTTTTCCTCATTGTGACTTGTAGCAAAGCAAGAGGAAATCTGGAAATATAATAATTTACTTTGTATGGAACTCAGATGAAGCTTCTTTAGCTTAACAATCCTTTTGCCTTCTGTGCTTTGAAAAGTGACTTTGCTTGAAGAATACAAGATTAAAACAACAAAATAATTAACCAAAAGAAGTTTTTTTATCCTTCTGGAAAATATATGATACAACATAGTGAGAACAAAGTCCTGCAGTTCAGGATAAACATATAACTACCAGAGAGGATTTATTTGTGAGACACTAGAAGCTCAATAACTTTACAGACTACAGAGACAGTCCCAGTCCCAAAGATCTTACTGCAACATCCAGTTTAAAGATGAATATGAAAATAAAGCATAATATTTGCATTTCAGAACACAACATGGTGGCCTCATTTGTTTGGGGTTTTTTTCCTTCTCCCCATATACCTCTTTCTGAGAAGCCCTGAAGGACAGGCAGTGTGTTACAGGCAGCTTGGAAGGAGCGTATTTAAAACACAGACTCACGTGAAAAGAGGGTGTGGTGGACAGGCCAGAAGTGGTGACCCTTGCCAATACCACGTTGACATGTGAGAGGAAACAAACAAGGCAGCAAATACAGGCAATGACACAGATCTGTGTTATTACAGAGGCCTACAAAATCCACCTACATATTTAACGAAAGGCTTTTCTGTAACAAAAGGCTAAAGCTGGTTTGTGAGATTTAATCTGTTGTATCCCAGACACTTTCTAATTCCTTTACTCTGCTTCCTTCTGCTCCAGTGACAAAACAGAGCTCTGAAATACAAATCAATTTGGAATACAGGAAAAACACCATCCAGAAGTTTGAGATGTGGTTTGTGCAATCTCTTATTATGCACATATTTAATTATTTAAAACCCACTACTACTAAGATTTCATGAAATCAAATCTCATCTTCATGCATTCCTTCTAGAAAATAAATATATTCCACAAAAAGGACCGACAATACAGACAGACATTTGCTTTTTCTCCTTCTCACTGAACCAAGGTACTTGCTAGTTTAAGATCATTATATATTCAAATGGTCCTATGGCAGGCTTAAAGCTAACAGTCACAAATTACACTGGAAGTCGTAATTGCCTACCTCCAAACCAAGATGAGAGAATCAATTCAGAGCTAATTAAAAATTCTCTCAATAGAAAATTGTTAGTATTATGATTTCTGTTTCATGATTGTCTATATTTTTCTGATAAGACTGATCCTTCCCCAGTTTGATGTCAGAAGATGATACCAGATGTAATGTTAAAAAGCTATCAAATGAGGTTTTCCTTTTCCTTTTCAAGCCTTTTCTCCAGTTCTGCTATTGTCAGTATTGGCTTCTTCACTATATTAATAAACTGCAGAACAGTGAACTGCACTGTTCTTGTCAGTTATTTTTCTTAGTATCTATCAAATATATCTTCTCCATATTCCTCCTTTCTCCTGTTTACTGCAACATCCTTTTTATAATGCACTACAGGGCAGTGAACTGAGCGGTGTATTGCCAGGAAGGCAATGAGTCCTAGTAAAATGTAATAATTTGGAATGTGATCACTCCCCTGATCACAAGGGATTATTACTACAGATTCATGTAGGGACAGCTACAGGCACATGCCTGCAACTGTGTAACACAACTGTTGCAATGTTCCCACTCATGTCTCCAAAACCAAGCTGAAAGGGACATTCTAAATAATTGATGGGTTTGGCTTTTTATTATTATTATTATTATAGTCCCAAGCACAGATAGAGGGTGATCAGCCATTGTTAACCTGATGCAATGCCAGGCATAATTATGGGTGCCCTCAAAGTTTCCTACAGCATTTAAGGATACTGCTTCTCACCATGGGATTTCCACAGGTAGCTCCTTGCTCTACATTGTGAGATGTCTTATGTGCATTTTGTCATATGGAAGGTTCTCAGCACCCTAAAGCCATACTGCAGCCTGTCTGACAGAATTCTCTTTCCTTCAGTCATTCTTCCACTTCCACTTATGGTTCTAACATTTGTGGAGCACTCTTTTTACTACTTTGTGGAGGGATATGAAAAAAGTTAATTTACATTCTGTTCAACTATTCCAACTGGTGCACATTAATAGCCCAAACCGGGAGAAAAAACTAACCTACTTAAATTTTTCATGTAAATCTCTATAAAAATTTATCACGATTACTCAAGCAGCTTTTTAAATATAATTTGTAGGCTTTTAAAAAATTCTAATAAGAAAATTTGTCCTGCACAGTACTGATTGCATTATTAAAATAACTTGCTGCTACAATACTGCATACATACATACTTATAAGGAGAAGGGTTTAATTAGACAAAGCTGAAAATGTATCTATAGTCATTGCTCTAACAGTGCTCCTAACTTTTTAAGCACTGTACAACTTCACTGTGTATGAGACTGAAAAAGTATTAGAAAGAGAATCTACACAAAATCTTCCTGAAGGAGGATCTTCCCTGAGAAAAGGAAGAATGGGGCAGCTGAACATTCCAATTGCTCAGCTCCTCCTGGTTGCCTCTGAAGCTCTTCCTCCCCTCACTTATCATAACTATCCCATAAGGCTGCAGTGCAAGAACTAGACTCAGTTTTATAAGTAAAGTCAAGTATGTAATGCTGCTTCTTTACTTTTTGAAATGTTCAACAGTACTGATTTCCAAATCACTTGGGGAACTCAGTGGGAATAGCTTTGTATTTTTCAATCAAAAACCATCTTGAAAATACAATCAGGAAAAACATTTCAATGCTTATCGGAAGAGTTTCTTTTCCTTGTTAACAACAGAAACAGTGGGAGTATTTCCTGAGAATACAGAGTTTCAAAAACCAGTTTTGTGCGTGTGTGGAAAGACACAGTGGAATTGCAGGTGATCTTACAGAGAGTTGGATGTACTGAGAAAGGCTGTGTTGACTATTCCTTACAGATAACACACAAACCTGAGGCAGTATCTGATAAGAGCTGTCACTGATCAACCACTGCCTTCTGCACCCATTTCACCTCTTCTGACTGACAGGTCTGCTGTAGGTAGATGTCCTCATCCCCTAACCTGGACACCACAGAAATGTGGATTACAGTAACACACAAACCTGAGGCAGTATCTGGTAACAGCTGTCACTCTGATCAACCACTGTCTTCTGCACCCATTTCACCTCTTCTGACTGACAGGTCTGCTGTAGGTAGATGTCCTCATCCCCTAACCTGGACACCACAGAAATGTGGATTACAGTGGTTAGCTCTGCATCTCACGACAGGGATGCAGCCTTTCACTTCAGTTATACCTGCCAGGAGTTAACAGGACAGCACTGCAAGGGGCGTATGGGCTGCAACGGAAAGGATTTGGTAACATCAACCTCTTTACTTTTCCATCACATCTGACAAGAGACCAAGCAATGTTCTCAAGCCAAAATAAGACCTAAAAATGTAACAAGATTACAAAACTCAGGTAATAGCAGGGCACATACGCTTAACACAGGTCATGCTTCAAATACAACAAATCTTGATTTTCCAAGTGTACAGAATGATGAGAACATATCAAAACCTGTCCTATGCTTTTAAGTTGGTTACAGTCAGGCTGTTTTCAGTCACTTCTTAACACCTGTTGCACACCTTCCAACTCTTTGAGATTCAGAGGATAATCTGATACTCATATTTTTTTACATTCAGTCAAAGGGAGTTGACTGATGTTTTTCAGCAGATATGGAAGTAGGTTCCTGATTTTAATTTTCCTAGTAACACTAAAATTTGAGAACTACATGCCACCAAGCAGCTTTCAAGTGGGCACTAATTTTCAAGTTTTGGTCTGAAGATCCAGAGCTGTTCCAGATCATGTCCCAGATGTATTTTTAAAAACACTCCCTTTCTTTGCTGGTGCATTCCTAGTTGTGTTCCTGATTTGCTTCCCTTTTACACCATGGCTCTGAGTTCTCTACCTGCAGTCTTGTCTTTAGAGCAGAATGTCTGCACAGACCTGGAAACTTCCCATTTCATCTCCTTTTCTGTCCAACCTCTCCAATCTATGACAATCCACTGACAAATCTATCACCTAAATCCAAATTGTGACTTCAGAAAAAAACCCAACCAAACCTCAAAATCTCTGTACTTGTTTAAACTGCGGACAACTATCTATTTTCCAGATTCATAAATCAACCAAGTAGTTTTTGCTAACACGTTTTTGTTTCAGAACCATCATTGCTAAATTAGGTGAACTTAACAAAAAAAAAAAAAGGGATATGGCCTTCTACCACTGTATTCATAAAAGATCTGAACCAATCAATGAAATTATCAATTATGTACATATAGTAGGCACATACAACAAGAATTTAATTTTATTAAATGGGTCCTTTACCTTTCTGCCCATGACGACTGCTAAATTTATCTCCAATTTCTGGGCGCCTGGTTTGCCTCAGCAACATTTTGATCAAGAAAGCATCCTCTGCATTTGATGAAATCATTACTTTTTCAATGTAAGAATCAGTGGCACCTTTGTACCTAGTAAAAGAAGACAAAACATTGCTTTCACTTCTGTGAACCAAACACAAGTTACGGACAACTATCTGTCTCTTGGTAAGCTCCTGACCAAACTTTTCCCTTAATTTTTAGGGAACTTATATATGAGGAGAAAGGATTTTATATATATATATTTACATACAAGTTCCAGAGTACAGCATGCTTCTGGAAAAGAAAAGTTTTAAGAGTTGCAACAGAAACTAACAGAGAATTAAGCTGAACTTGTAAAGGACAAAGTATGGGTTCTTTTCACATGGGCTCTTCTCGACAGCAAAAGCTTCATCATGTATTACCAATTCCTTGATCTTCAATTAAACAAACAACAGCCAAATATAGTTATAGTTGAAGAAGACAGTTTTCTAGAAGTGAATATTTTTCAGACAACTTTCCTTCATGTAATTTGCCCAGCTGTGAAGTTATATTGCAACGTACGTTACTGGCACATCTTTGTACTGTGGCTGCTGAGGCACACTGCTTCCTTCCAGAGGTGTCTGGGTCACAGTTGGCATAGATTTGTTCACAAGAACTTGCTTATTTTCTACTTTTTCACCTACAGAGAACGAGAAGAAAAAGCACCATGAAAATGTATCTGATTGTGTTAGAAATACATTTTAAGCATTAAAAAAAAAGGGGAGGGGAAGAGAAACTGGAAGAAAATGCCCAAGAAGTATGCTCTGCTGTTTTACAAAATATTGAATGGTAAGGGAATCACTAAACCAGTTTCCTTTGGGAAACCAAAGCAGAACAGCTTGCATGCTGGGTGCACTATGAGAACAGCTATTCAACATACCCTGGATCAAAAGTCTGCACAAAAGCATCTGAAGTCATATGCTCCAAGTATGGAGAAAATGAACAGGGAACACTTTGTCATGACTGAACTGACAAATTTTAGAAATTCACACCTAAATTTGGGACAGCCCATCATCCCACAATGAGCTTTGCAAAACTACTGTCAGTCTCCAGGTACTGACATATTTCTATTGATACTGCTGTCATATACAGCTTCTCCCTGCTCCATTCCCTTATCCTGCCCTTTACATTGAAAATCAGATCAGGAGGATGCCCAGTGATACAACTGCACACCAAAGTATCTACCTCCCACCTCCTCCACTAAATCACACTGATCTTCAGCCTGTGTCTCTTCTGTCCACATGAACTATCTCAAATAGGTTTTTACCTACATGCTGAGTCTCAGCCTGGAGACCAGCCCACTACCATCTATCCTAATACTTCAGAAGATTCTTGCCTTATTTTTCTTAATTAACTTTGAAAGCTCCATTGTGATGTGTTAAGGAGCAAAACTGACCCAATTGTGTACTATAATGGAATTAAGTTTAATGCCCTTTAAAACACCTTTCTTACTAGATCTTAGCAGATCTATTAAGCCATTTTCTAACTAAAGGATGACAGTACGGGAGGATTCTTTCTCAAATCTATTACCACTGGAAATTTACACACTTCTCTTTACATTTCTATTTATTTTTCTTATTTCCAAACAACCTTGTAAAGTGTTACAACCATAAGGCTTTACTTCCTCAAATAGATGCATTAACTGACATCTTGCTAGGAGATTTTGATGCATGAAATCAAAATAATAAGGAGCCTATCCTTAAGAAAACAACAGCACATGACAGACAAACAGGGAAAAACTACAGTATTAACAGTTTGTCAGCTTGGGAACATAAGAACACAAATTCTAATGCTTCAGTAGATTCACATTATTAAAGACTCACTCTTCTACTTAAATATAAAGCTACTTTTTTAATGTACAAAAGTTCCCCTGATGACTGGTAACATGCTGCTTTCAGGAACTAACTTTTTTCAAACTTCCCATCACAATACTGTTGTCTTCAAGACAAAAAGCTCCCAAAAGGATAAGTATAACACAAGGTGCACAAGAAATCCTGACAGAACATTAATTTCCGCTTTGACTATGAAGATGCCCTGAGTGAACACGCAGTCTGACCTACCTGGGGAGCAGATCCCATCAGCATCTAAAATCTCGTGGCGCCAGATGGGTTTACGGGTCGCTGCATCCAGCATCGGCCCCATCACCTTGTCAAAGGTCTGGTTCGTGTATCGCTTCAGCGTGCACTTGGCATTCTTGTACACAAGACACCTTCCAAAGCCTAGAATGCAACACAAACTCATCTGCCCAGGAATTCAAAGAGCCTTTATAACACATGATCAGGATAAAATCTGAGCTATGGAATATAAAATATTCTTTATTAGTTAGTTTATTCATTGGCTTGAATATGCATAACGGTGTACACAGTTGTGGTGCACAACTTAAACATCAGATCATGTACACTGGTTATTTTAGATGCTGAACTACAGTCCAATTCTGAACTGTGCTAATCTGCTTCTGTACCTCTGCACACATAATTTCTCTTGACATGACTGAATCTCTTGAATAATTTTGGTGGTCTCCAGGAAGATGTAACATGGGACTGTAATAGGGTGAGAGGAGCACCTCTTCCTTTCATGCATTCTAAGAAACCTGAACTTTTACTCATGTTTGTGGCTGGCATAAGCAAGTCTACCAGGAAAGTACTAACTGAGTGGTTAGTATAATCAACCCATTATTCTTTTTTTCCTCACCTGAAATTACATGTACTGTTACAAAATTAGTGGGTTTTAGATGAGAAAAGTAGCATCTGTTGAATTTTTCTCTAAGTACAGCAACTAAGCAACTAACTGTGATACTAAACACTCTAATCACATTTAGAATTACAGAGAGCCAAGAACAAGTCTTGCTAATAATCCTGGGTTATTTTAGTTCATTTGAAAGATGGTTGTGGCCACATACAGTACATCTATATTTTCAGATTATGTCAAGTAATTTCTGACAAGCATCACAGCTCTCCCTGTAAATGTTACCAGTCTACCAGAAAAGAAAACATTCAGTTTTAAATCATGCCTGTTGTTGTTTTAGAAAAGGAGGCATAAATTAAATGCAGCAGACATTAATGCCAAAGATACATGTCTAGGAATACTATTACTGCTGCCTAGCAACTAGGAGGAAGGGAGTTTGGGGCGGGGGGGCGGAATAAAGTGATGGAAGAATCTGATTTTGGCCACCCAAAACTAAAACCAGCTTGATCACTGCACTATGCCTGCTCTCACAGAATTTATGGAGAAAAGGGAGAGAAGAGAGACTAAGTTTTCAGACAACTCTCCTCCAGCCCTCAACAGCACTGACACGAAGTCCTGAAGAAGTGTGGAGAGTGAGACAGGCTAGACCTACACAAACATGGGTCTCTGTTAGTTAACCTTCCCTTTGGTACTTATGTACTTTGACTAAAAGTATACTGCACCACAGAGTTGGTATAATTTTTTAAGGAAGTAGGTCATTGACTTAGCTCTGGATAAACACTAAATTATTTTGCTTTAGACAACACTATTATTTTGTCTCAGAAAGTAGGCTATACTGCTACTGCTCCCTCAGAACACCAAGCTCACAAACTGCCTTAGGTTCTATTATGTTCCTAAATACATTCACACAAATCTAATTTCATCTATTGCTTTTGTTACTGGTGGAAATAATGAGATCTCTCTGTTAGTAATGAACAAAGGTTCAGGTAAACATCTAAAAAGCCAGCCCAACAGAACAGATAAACTCATGCCTTATGTTTTCTGTAAACTAAGTATTTACAACTTTTTTATCTGGGGTCAGAAGTCAGCCATTTTTTCTTATAAAGTCCAGACTCAGAATTTTATATGCATGTTGGCAACTTCACCACACTATTGCACGCATGGAGTTACAACCACTAATCATACAGAAAGCCAACAAAAGTATTCAAAGCAGTTTGGAAATTCAATTTCTTAACTGGAGATCTAATGCTCATAATGGCAGTAGAAGTTACTACAGGATAACACTATGAGAAAACAAGTTTATTTGAATATGTATTGGAACACACACTGGAGAAGCAGGAAAGAGTTGATGGATCTTACCTCTGTCCAAAGAGGCTTTATTTAAGACAAGAGCATCTTCAATATCATAGCCACTGTAGCTCATCACAGCGACTGTGGCATTCTGTCCAGCAGGGAGTTTCTCAAAATCTATCAATTCTATTGTTTTTGTTTTTACCATTGGCTTTTGTGGATAGGCGAGGAGATACATCAGAGTATCTATCCTGTTTCTTTGATTGTATCCAATAGTACCTGCATGTAAAAGAAAAAAAAAAAAAAAAGCAGTGAACATTAGTGAGTTTTCTAGGAATGTTTTGGCTAAAAAGTTACCAAAATGCAAATTAACTAAAATCACACAGAAATTCTTCAAGAAAAAAGGGGGAAAATAATAATTCAAACTAAAACAATTTTACATTATTATATTTAAATAAATATATAAGTAGTTGATTAATTTAAGCTCCCAGAAAGAATTATTTTCTCTTGAACAGAGAAAACCTAAGCATCAATATAAAAAGAACAACAAAAGAAATAAAAGCCATTTGAATAAATACAGATAAGATGTTTTTTTCTAATTACAACACTGAATCCTGCAAGTATGAAGTTTGCTTTTATTGTTCTCATAGCCACTGGCTTTGGGTTTTTTTGGAGTTCAACTGGTGTTTCAGAGACTTGATCCAAAATTTCATGACAATCAACAGAAAGACTATCACTGAATTCAAGAGAAACTGTGGATCAAGCTCTTCATCTTCAACAACATTATTTCCTTCCTTTTTTGGGCAATAATTAGTTCAACAGCAGCCCGTGTTAGAATGGGACAAAGTATTAACGAAGCATACCACTAGCAGCAGCCAAGAGTGATTTACTTTCTAAAATTAGAAGCACCACTGCTAGAAAGACTACAGTAGAAGTCCACTTCTGTATTTGTCTTTTTACATTAAATTAATTTTAAATTTACAGTTCAGAATTCAACCCTTTGTATAGACCTCCCAGCTTGAGACTGAAATTTTTGGCCCTGTCCCATCAGAATGCCAAAGCGTCTCCTGAAATCTGAGGAAAAAATAATTAAGACCCAGCAGGGGAACATAAACCGTTGTGTAGCAGAACAAAAGTTAAGGCAATCATATGTTCTTGGAGTTTGCTGTACCAGGACTATGCTATGTCTCTAAGCAATTAAGAAATTACAGTCTGAAAAGTTAACATTTTAAAGTTTTAAGTGCTAAATATTCTGCAGTACTTTGTTGTCCTTAGGATGTAAGTCTTTCAAAACTTTTCCATTTTGTCCTGCAGTTTCAGAGCCTGGCTGCATTCTTGGAAAGGTCAAAGCAGTCAGTGTACAAGGAAGATTTCACACAGCCAGGAAGCACATCTGAACATAAACCTGCTCACTGGGAAGGTCAGCTTCACATTTTACATGCATCTAACTTGCAATTCCCATTTACATAAAGTGTCTGGAAAATGAAACTCTAAACCAGGCATCTGCAAAGACCTATCCTGTGCTTGGCACTAGGCTCACTCTCCTAAACCACAACAGGTCTGCCCTTCCCGAGGACAAGAATGGAGAGATAGCTCAACAGCTACTGTCTGAAAATGAACTCTTACAGCTGGCCTGGACTTTCTAAGGTTCTAGAAAGTAGATTCAATGACACAGGCACAGAATTTTCAGATGACAAGAAAAATCTGGTAGAGTTGACAGGCTTGTCTCCTGCTTTAAAGCAGTTGTTTTTCTGTCTGTTTCTTGTATGAGGGAACAAGCCTTCTTCAAACAGTATTTTTTGTCTCCAGTAAGACTTGCGCTGGTAAGGCCTGGATTCCTCAAGACTGAAAACCTTTGCAGTCCCACCCTGCAAGGCCCAGCACCTGAAGGCCCCACTATTTCTGATATACCCTGAGATTTCAGTTAGACATTGTTCCCATTGTACTTTTGACTCAACTCCCCTGATTTTCCCAGTATACAGATCAGAAAATATACTTCCAAATTAAAGACTTAAGAGGTTTAAACCACTATTCCCCCCTGCATCTAGAATTTGTATGCTTTCAGAGTAGGTTGCAGGGAAGCTCAGCTTAAGTGTTTCATAGATAGGTGCATTGTCCTGATGTTGAGAGAAATCTTTCCAAGAGAAAGTCATGCCACACTTAACTTTCAAACTGCTTGCATTTTTTTCCTCCTCTGATATGCTTACATGCTACACCTGCTCTGGTTCACTGGTTAAGGATGCAGAGACAGGATGAAGTCTGCAGCACCAGTTTTATCTTTTACACTTTAAGGGTGTCCTTTACACCCCAGTAACAATCTGTGGAAGTCCCCTATATATCAAAGATTTCAGATAACACTTTAACATATTTCAGGTAACACAAATATTTCTCTTCAGGTGTTTCACGTATTTAAAAACTGGCATTTTTATCACAGGTTCAGATAAGCCTAACAGAATAACAGAACTGCTACTGTCTGGGAGCTAGAAGCAACTGATATTACTGAGATTCTCAGCCTCAGTAATAAACTGTATTCCGGCTACTCTTCAGGAGATGAATGCTGTATCAAATGGAAAACATATACATATATATCAATGACAGATATCCTAGCAGGAAAGAAACTGGTTAGAGAACGACTCCAGAGCAGAAATTAAATAAATTAGCCAAAAAACATGCCATATATCATCAATATTATTCCTAATTGCTGGGATTTAATGGTTATACAAATAATCCTTTCTCTAAACTGGGCTAACAAACCACAGCCTGAAACCACAATCTGCTTATTTAAAATAAAGTAGCAGCTCTCTTCAGAGGACTGGTGTGCTGGGATGAGCCTTCTGTGTGGGCGCTGAAATGAAGGAAGTCACTAGCTTTATTTCTGCTTTCTCTCTGAAAGAACAGAGCCCTTGTTTGCTCCAGCCAAACAACCAAGCAAAAGTAAAGTATAATTAAAGTTCACCATAACAAACCCTGCTCACAATGACTCACATTTATAATTATCCCACCAGCAAGAACCAATTTTTTTCATTGGGAATTAGTCCTGGTTAAAGCAAAACACACAAGGTTGACCTGGATACAACAAAGATAATTTTCTTGCTTTTCTCAGTACTTGATATATTGTGAATGCACGTGTGCATTCTTTCCTTTTTTTTCCAATATCCTGACAGTTTTTTTTTCTTTTTAAGTGCCATTTGAGTATCCTTTAGTGTGAAATAATCACTACAAAAACACTACCTACTGATATTTAGCATAAATGAGGCATTGTTATTCTGATGCTGAAGATTTTGAGAACTCGCCAGAACAAAAAGCCAGCTAAAATAAGCATTAATCCAATTCTCCAACATTAAACTGAACAATCAAGATTAACGAGGATACAGAAATCAATCTACTTGAGCCAAAAGGGCTACTACTGCACATGTCAAGAAAAGAGTTGCTGTAATTCTGTATTTCCCCCGTTTTCACCATGGATTTTCTATGATTCTGTCCTTTTATGTGAGTACAAAGCAAGAGAGGAAGAAGTACAGTTTTTAAATGCTGCGATAAACCTTGTAGAGCGGGCTCCGACTCCACTCAGATTGTCACAGTACATGCATTAGATGATCTGGATGTTAAGTGTTAGAAATATTATTTTCACAGTAGAAAGATTAAGAAGTGGGTTAAAAAGATTATGGGTAAAATGGGGGGTGGGGGGAAGCTCATTTCTGCCTCAGCACTTCTGTGCCTATTACCAAAGAGAGGAGAGGTGTCAAAACGAGGTCGTGTCACAGAGCACAAACAATCCTCAAAGAGCAGTGGCAGAACACAACTGCGGCCACAGCACACCCAGATCCAGCTGTGATGACCAGCAACAGCTGGTTTTGCTTTGAGGTTTGTTTAGATTCTGTGCCCCTAGGCTAGCTGTACAAAATTTGGGAGGACTCTGGCTCTCAGTCCACCAAAGAACTTTCACAACTGTCAAAAACTCCCAGCACTGAGTTCCTTGAAGCGCATTTACCTTCTCAACTTCATTTTAACACATTCAGCTGGCTACAGTACAAGGCAGAACAGTATATAAAAGGCTTTGCTACTTCACAGAAGCAAAGCAGAAAGTACATGATACAGGCTTTTTTTGTAATATCAAACTTTTTGCTTCATTTTAAGTTTCTACAACAAAGCTCTCACCCACCTATGTCTGTTCCCTCAAATACTTCCTTTTATTTCAGAGGTTAAAGTAATAATTGACACTCAAATCCTCCTTTTCTTAGTCAAGACTTGTGTTCTGTCATATGGGTTGAAGCTGCAGGGCACAGTTGTGCTGTGAGTGTACAGCTTGCTTTGTGTACCCACACCATCACTTACACAGCAGCACATGTGCATGTGCAATATGGGGAATTACTGGCAGGAAAACTGTATTTTTTCATTCTCCAAATTAGGCTTTTACACAGTCACAGATGTACAATGTGTAAAACTGACTAGGTTTTTATGTCTTAATGGAATTTAAAAGCTCAGTTTAGAACATTTCTCTAACTGTAGAAGCCTTTGATCCTCTTAAGCATTATTTTACCAACACATGAAATGCAAACAGAACAGACTCTTGTATTTTCATCTTAAGTACTTCTGAGATTTTAAGCTACAACTGTTAACCTTGCACTGAAATGTCAACATTCAACTGAGGTCTTTGCAGCTGCTGTTGTATTTATTACCTAACTTCCTCTCAGTCTTACAGTTCAACCTGCAACACATGGTAAATAATCTGTGCCAAAAGTGAGGGGTTTTATTTCAATTTAATTTTACTGAAATCCAGTTTGGTTATTAAGTGCAGCTCTAGTCTTCCAACAAGATGACTCATCTACCCCTGAAAGGGAGATTTCAGGACACGTAATGCTCTCCAGAAGAAACATTACTATTTCAGGACCTAATACTTGTCAGAGACACTGGATTACAGACCTCATTCCAGTCTTTCATGTCCACTCTCCACTTACTTGTACTTTCACACCTTTCCTTAGCTTGATGTTGCTTAAAAAAGAGACTTAAAAAAGAAAAAGACTGTCCAAAGCTGCTGGCACAGCCCTGTGACACGGTCAGAGGGGGTGGGTCAGTGTTGACAAGCCAAGGCTCTCCTCTCCCAGTCTGAACCCTGGGCTCCCTTCACCACTCCAGGTTTTGACAGTCGAGGGAGTGACACAGACGACTTGGACATGAGACTTTCCCCATGGCAGTGTTGGATAAGGAGCTGCTCTGCAACTTCAGTATGGAGAAAAAAAGCAATAAAGATGGATGGTAACTTAAAGGTTGGGGTTTGAAGCTATACTACATCACATCTCTTCACAAAAATAAACAGTAAAGAAGTATGTGCAATGTTTCAGGAATATCCTCTAGTCCTCATTTGACCAATAAGTGTAGAGAAAAATCATCTCTGCCCCTACATATTGCCACTTACGGTGGCTTTTTTTAAGCAGTTATTACAAAAAGCTTCAGGTGTTTGCAGGTACTTCAGAGGAAAATAAAGCTCAAGTCATGTGCCAACTTTTGAAATTTACTTTTATCTAGCTGCTCATTCTTTGAGTCAGGTGTTTTGTCATAACAAACTGAAACAAAGGCTTTTTTTATTGCTCAAGATATTCAATGGCTTTTGTGTTCCTAGCGTCAGCAGGAACGTCAGAGGATTGTATCCAAGGAGCTAAATGTGCAAGACCTGGGGTCAAAGCAGCTGAATACACCAACCTCAGAAAACACAGACAATGAATTGCAAATGACACTCAAAACAAAACGGGGAAAAAAACCTTCACACAGAAAACTACAAAAGAACTCCACAGATACTGAATTGGCTTTCTGTACACACTGATCCTGCTTAACTGTGTGTGGTAACTAACCAAACCTTCTGAGACTAATAGTCATAAAATAGAGACTCAGGGGTGGGGGAAAGATAATGGGATGGGGGAGAACTGTAAGGAAAAAAGATTGCATTGCTCCTCTTTCCACCCACCCACCCTTTTTTTTTTTTTTAATTTAAATAGAGAACATATATCTTGCTATTTTCTGTTTTCATTTGCTCAACATGATGGTTCAGCATAAGGCAGTTACTTTGCTATTAATTCTGCTGGAGAAGTCTCACAAAAGGTGCAGCGTTTAAGCTTCAAACACACAGCACAAAATAAATGGTTTAGTAAACCTAACTGAAGTGGCAGTTCCTTCATGAAACAGAGTTGTGCTGCTGTAGCTCCCAACTTGTAAGCCAGCCATCAATACAAGCCATGAAACCAGCCTGTTGAGCACCAGTCTGAATGCAGCTGTCTGAATTGATGTATGACTGCTCAGGCTCCTCTGCCTTGATCACAGGCCATAGACTTGGACACTTTAATGCTGGTTTCACTGGGTATTAAAGAAAGGATTAGAACTTAACTGCTGTCAATTACCCCCAGCAGCAAATTTACAAAACAGTTGGGTTTTAATGACCAAATATGACAATGTCAAATTAAATAATACGTAATCATAAAATTAATTTTGTTTCAGTTTGCCCTCTTCATCCAAAACAGCAAAAGCAAAAAATATAAACTACGGCTGTGGAAAGTGTTCAAATTATTAACAACTCTCTTTCACACTTGAGTCTTCTTATTCTCTGATGTCAATGTTAACTATTGATATATTTATTTTTAGGACACTTACTCAACCAGTCAAAGAAATGCTCCTCAATCTGTGCTCTGTCTCTCTTTGTAAGAACAATTTTTAACTCTTTTTTGTCTGGAAACCCACAGCACATTGCAGCATAAAGAAGAAAAACCCCACTCTGCCAATCCTGCAGATATGCTGAAAACTTGAAAGTCATTATAATTTCCAATAAAATGCAACAGAAAATGCAAAAGTATCCCAGTTTATTAAAATTTTCTTTTAAGTGTTAAGAATTGCAGATATCGTCTTCCTTAAGTAAAATTGACTGGTACCTGGTATTTTTCTTACATTGATCTTTCCAAGTTTCAGAGGTAAACTCTTTTTTTTCCTCAAAGCTATAAAGAAGTGCTCTTTTACTTTTCCCAGCAAAGCTTTTATGTGAATCAGGAAAGAAAGAATTTTTGTTTGTCACTTTTGCTACATAGCTTCAAAAACTACGTAACACTTCAAAGAGGAATAAAAAGTGAAATCTTACCCATGGCTTGTTTCCCCATGGCACACTGGTAAGTGTTTCTTGGGGACTGGTTGTGGTGAGGATATGGAATCAGCCCAGCACAGACACCCAGAAGCGTGAAAGGCTCTATCTCCAAATGGGTTGTATCTCTTAAAAGAAAGAATACCAATTATGGCAGGCTTGTGAACAAACAACTTCAGTAGAATTTATTTAATTTAGCAGTATCTCATAACATTTCAAATTCAATTCTGTTCAGGAGAATGTAAGTCAGTAGGACCTCAAAACACAGATTCACTACAGGATTTTTACTTTTATTAAAAAACCTAACAACTTTCTTTTGGTTACAAGTGTTTCCACATGAAAAGAAATGAAGGAGAAATAAATAAGAGTTCATGAAATTCCATAATGGAGGAAAAGCCTCCAGATAATGACAACCTGAGGGAGCGCAGTAAAACAGTAAAACATCAGTTTATATAGTAAGACCCAAAATGCCTTAAGGAATGTCTTCTCATGTAATGAGAGCCCTCCGCATCAAATTACTAATCTCAGAGATCCAGAAATCCACTGGGGAGATGGAAGAAGGAAGAGCACAACAGATTCAGGTACTAAAAAAACTGTTTTAGTTTTCCAAGGTCAGCTGTATCAGTTAAGGAGAAAACATTTGTCTCCAAACCAGATCCGCTGCCACACATACATGACATAATACAACACTATTTTAAAGATCTGCAAATATTTTGGAAGTGATTATATTGTTAAAAGACAGTAAAAAAATACAGTTAAAAAAAAGAGAAGTAAAAAGACAGAGAAAAGGAGTAAAGACAGAGGGACAATTTGTTCTATCATCTGGCATGAGCTTTGTAAGAGAAAGTCCATGCTCAACAAAGGCAAATCATAGCATGCATTGGGATGCAAGTGGAGAGACTAATAACTAAGAATGAAGTGTACAATAAGGCTTAGCTGGAGGAGGTATTAATTTAAATCAAGATAAGTAATTAGGAAGTGGGGAATTACAAAATACAGATTATTATAACTAAACCTATTCAAAGTCTATCTTTCATGTCCTGGATTTATTACAGAGACCTGGGCTTTATGCACACCTTGCTTCTCCCAAACATCTAAACCTTTGAGCATTCTCAAAATCTCACCTTTAATGTTTGACTCCTCTTGGAAGTCTTTTGGAAGACTTTAATTATTTAAATAAATTAATTTGATTACTTAACTTCAGGATCTTGCCAAGGAAGTGACAGAGAAGTCTTTATTATGGCAACACTCAAAAGACAGCCAAGCACTGTAAGCTAAAAAAGGCTAAGTAATTACCCACAAGCACATAGAGACTGAAGACAAGTGCCAGCAGTAACTTTATAGATAAACAATACATGTACTACTGGAAGAGTAATGAAATCTGAAAGCTGAAAAAAATAGACCTGGAAATCCTGAGGATTAAGCCAATAAAACTATCTATCAGTCCTAGAAATCTTTATAAATCACATATACACCTGAATAGCCTAAAAATCACCTGCTGGCCAGAGGACAGCCACTGTTTTTTCTCCGCTTGATAAAAAGCAGCTATGTTATCTAAAGCCTATCATAAGAAAATACTAATGGGAGAATCCACACTGCAGTCAAGTAATTGCAAAATGGTCTCAAGAGCCAGCAGCAAACTGGAAGCAGAGACTGCTTCTCCATTCTGCAGAACTGGTGACACTTTTCAAATAAAACCAGAAGCTTGACACTTACTGATAGCGATGTTTCCAAATTTCATCAGAGGGTACAAGTGCATGGAAATAGATATACATTTGCACAGAGGGTATTCAACAAATGTCCTCTTCCAGTGAGGTCAATCCCATTTCAACCAAAGATGATCCTATTACCTTATGAAGTATTCCAGAGAGCTAATGGGAGACGTTCAAATTTTACCGGGCAGTTCAATTTCTGCAGGTCAAAAATGCCACTGCCAGAACCAGGCCCAAGAAAGGAAAAGCAACCACATGAGCTCGAAAAGCAGATTTACAAATGTGTAAGGAAGACACTGAACACATTAGAATCAAATACTCCAAAGAAAACCTCTCTAACTGGATTGGAAAGATAAAGAGAGGATATTGTAGCTAAAAGAAGCCTATATTACAATAGCAGGACTGCTACTGAGATACTTCACACAGTGGGTTGTATCAGTGGCATTACCAGAACAAGCTGTACCAACATGGTCACACCATTTAAGATGCAAGATGATCATCTGGAGAAAGGGGGGACTCAGCTATTCAGGATGCAGGGAGTATCATTATCAAACACAAGGAGCAATGTGCTCATACGCTAGAAGCTCAGATACTTGTGGCACATTCAGACACTGTTAGCATTGAAATCAAACTCAAAACAATTGATGGACAATACAAGAATCTTCTGAGCTTCCTGGGAGTTGCTGAGGAGTCCTTTCCTCACACTGCTCCACTGGAAGTTCACTTTCTCCTCTGATTTTAGACTAAACAATGATTTCATATGCTACATTCCCATTAACCTTTCTAGCTGAGTCAGTTGTCCTGTAACTTAAATTTTCAGCTCTGGTGCTTTGTGGAAGTTATTTAAGTTTGGCACAAATGACAGCAATCGTGTACGCTCTTCTTTGCTCATGTATACAGAACTCAGTCAAGAGCATGCAAGAGTAATCTCTTAAAGTGATAAAGTCTTCAAAAGCCTGGGTAGGAGCAATGCAATTTAATTAGCAGAGTTGATGTATTACATTTAGAAAAGGTTACTGAAGAGCTCACCCAGCTCCACTGAAATCAATGGTTTATTTCTATTAGCTTGCAGGAGTACTTGACCTGGACAGATTATTTAGAAAAAGAATTTTCTGGATAAATCTACTGATCAAACATTCACAGAGATAATGTCTAGCATTTCATATTCAGGCCTTCAGTTTACAGGGTATTGTCAAAGTAACATTAAAAACCACTAAAAAGATAGGAGGATTAAAAAATTTAAAAGAATCCTTCCTTTAATGTGGAATCTTTAATCACAGTCAGAAGACAAGAGTAAAAAAAAATTGCAGCAGGTGCTTCAATATGTAGAAAACATAACAGATCTGGAAAAATCTCTGAATTAAAATCACATATCAAAAATGGTTTTAAGATGTGTGCTAAAGAATACACAGAATGATGCTGACATTTTTATTGGGGTCTATTGTACATCCAAAAGTCAAAGGGAAGGCCTCATTCCAGCACTCCACTTACTGTATGGTGGGTGTCTAGGGTCCCTTTATGGCCAGAAAAGAAATTTCCAAACAACCATGATATGCTAAAATAATCAAATAACATGTGAAACCATTTGCCTTCTGGATACCTATTGGATAAGATTATTTATGATGAGCAGCCCAATGATCAGAACAAAGACCCACATCCAGAGAAAGAAAGCATATACCTTTAAGTATTTAATATTTTTGAGTTAGTAGCAGAAACAGCTCTCTGAAAATCTGAACCATTTTTTGTAACTTCCCATGGATAATGTAGGATGTGTGCAGACAGATTTCTCTCTTTAGCTTCCACCTGGAGTAGTTTCAGCGACTAGCAAGGGAGCAGTGTGTACATGTGAAAACTAACATTATTTATGTGTCTGCATTTCAGAGAGTTACCCTATGAAAGTTTTTCCTGTACCAGTTACTGAATGCATACTCACTTATTGATTGTATTTTCATACAAGGCAATGTTACAGTCATTTTCTTCATTCACATCCAAATATTCTACAAGGCCTTCATGCAAGAAGTCTTCAAAATTCCTATAGATAAATCAAAAATTACACTAGAAGCACTGACCATATCTTTCTGCAAATATAAAATACTTAGTACATATATTAAAGGAATGTAATATGTAAAGCTAAACCAGATAAATACTTCTATATGTAGGGTTCTGTGCATATTACATATTGAAGAAAAATGTGGTTTTTTTAATTAATCCTGTTGCCCATTCACTGCTTCACAGTCTGACAGATGATTGTTACTTAAGTGAACAACTACAAAAAATCTTCCCATATGTACTCATCACCGCTGTCAATGTAGGCAAATATAAGGATAATCACATACGTTTTTGTGATTTGTAGAATTTAATTAGACCTAAATTTATATGCCTTTGTACTAGTGTGCTTTTTTAAAAAAATTGTTAACTAAGAATTTACAAGGACTTTGAAAAACTCTGGATGTGCCCAGTTTAGGGTGGTTAAGTTGATACTCCTGTGAGGTGTTTGATTTTTCAGTCAGGAGGATGATACTGCCTCAAACGTTCCACTTGCAGAAAGATGAGGCTGTGAGATGTATTTATTCTGTATACTCACCAAATCTCACAGCAGTAACAAAATAAGAACACCAGCTTTAATTTGACTTTAAACAGAAAATCTTCAGTACAAAGGTTATGAATTTATATGGAGAGCAGACTTCTCTAATTAGCTAACCCCAAGACTGTGAAATATTGACTGACTGAAGTATCTCCACACAGTATTTACTTGGTGAAGATGAATATGGCCTACTTGAACTGTGTACCTGTAGCCCTGAGCCAGTTCTTCCATATGCTTGTTTGTAACTGCAGGTTTTTGCTTCTTGACAATTATGTAAGGCCTGAAATTCAAAAAAAAAAAAAGGATGGTCACAGCAAATAATTAGGCAGGTAACCTAATTTATTTTTACACTAAGAACCCTGCCTATGCATAACAAATTTATCGGCCTTTAACTGATAAAACCACATAAATAAAATCAGCAACTATTCAGACCTTAGTTTGATATAATTAAAATGTGTATCAGAAAAATCAAGACTTAAATTTTGAAGTAAAAGCTATTTTTCCCCCTTTAAATAATTCAACTAAAATCTTCTAAGTTTTACCTACAGATTTTGATGATGGCTTTAAAAGATTTGAGATTTCCCAAATTATAGAGCTAAGAACAGCATTTAGTACTGTGGTTTTTACAGAACACTACGTTCACAGTTTGTGCTCAAGTGTCCACATGCACGGCTGCATTTTGCAATTGCCTACATGCTGTAAAGTACAGGCATTTACTGTGGGTGATCTCTGATGAATCCATAAATTTCAATAGCACATGGATCTCTGAAGGCTTCCCTACCACACAAAACCACTGACACAAAGAATGGCATGCAAGAAGGCAACGTCAAGGGCTGTTGCTATTTGGACAAGTTGCTTTGATAAAGAGAAGCAAATAGCTACAAGGTACTTGTGGAGTCCCTGCTGAAGTCTAAATAACTGTTAGAAGACTAATAAGCACTTTTAAATGGTTAATAGGGATATCTAAACAATTGCAGGGTGAGGGGTGCCACAAAGCAAACTTGGTAAAGCCCTGCAAATCCACATGATTTCCCTTGCTTTTATTTTAAAAATGGGAAGCTTTGCTGCCATCTCCCAAACTACACATACTAGCCCGCACTGCAAGAGTGATTTCTCTGCCACTGAATATGGCCCTACTCAGGATCTCCTGACTAGGTATGATTAATTGATGGTTTGTGCATTTACTATTTTGGAGCCTCTGACATGCCTCAAACTGCATTCAACATGCTCTGAGATTCAATTAATGAACAACGTAGATTGCCACCAGTAGTTGTGATTGCTGCTTTGTTGAAGTGAACACAGAATATGCACACAGCCAGTCATTGCTAAAATATGTATATATTCATTAACCCATTCTGTCTCTTCCAACCTCTGCCTATTTTGAATGAGGGCTATTTAAGCAGAAAAGAGATGCTCAAGTCTTACTGAATTTGCTTAAATCTGTTCCTGTGACAGCCTGGCCCACTGTACAGAAATTTATAGCCAGTTCAGCAGTGAAGTAATTCTGATGAGAAGTTTACCTGCACAATCTCCCTCCATCAGAGGAGATGTAGACACATCTGTCAGACAGATTTGTAGAGATGGAAACAAATTCGTTAATATAACCCGCTCGACGCAAGATCCGAAAGGTGTTGACTAATTTCTGGTGATCACGTATGACACCAAGGATGTTACCTGGTCAGAGAGAGAATAAATACCTGGTGTATCCTTTGCACATCCAAAACTATTTACAAATTCTGACCATGTGTGGCATGCATAGAAGTACTTCTGCTTCTTGTAAATAGAGTTGTTATAAAATCCCCCTTCTCTAACATGAATAAGAACCAGCTCTTTTTTCCTCTCAATTCAAAATTGTTAGAATTTCACATGTCATCTACCTGCATGCTTCCAAACAGCCTGAGAAACCAAATAGTGTGGTTCTTCCAGCTTTCTTCAAGTATGTTTCTGCTCAGCTGCCCATTAATCAGTTGGTGCACAAGTTAACTCTCAAGTCTGCAATTTCACCTGTAGTGAAACTGATTCAAGGTTTCCAAGAACAGACCAAGGAACAGCCCTGCTGCCTTGTCAGAAATTTTGAAGTCCTGATATTTTGATGTATGGGATCACTCACAACAGCACAAGAATTTCTCTTTTAGGTACTTAGCTCAACTCAGCTATCTTAGCAGGGCAATTCGGCTCATACTTAAATATTCTGATGCATGATGAGCAAAAGAGAGTAAAATTCATTTTAAGAGTCACCTGACCAAAGTAATCTTAATACATAAAATAAACATCTATGCTCACATTTTAAAAACTTTAAAGAAGAAGACAAATGATGAAAGTTTAGGGAGTTTATAAGACAACAGAAGGGTCTTTACAGCTTAAAGAATTTGTATTTAACAGATTATCTACGTTCTTAAGTCAGGATCAAGTCAGCTATCCACAAGTTTGAATTTTTTATGGATTAAACCCATAAACCAGTGGATTGAACAGTAATTTGGCTTGTCCCACTTAGTACTAGTTCAACTACATTTGGGAACAGACTCTTGTTCTGTACTCCAAACTGAGCTTGTCAAGGAAGAGTCCAATATTTTGGCTCTGCACTCCCCTCTGGACCACAAGACAGAAGACAGTGCATGTGGTTTCACTGAACCTTATCTTTAACACACTGCTACAGAAAAGCAGAGCAAAGGAATGTAGTTTGGTCAAGTGCTGCTTTTATGTTACCAGGAAAAGGCAGGGTTGAAGAACAACTGCTGTTTAATTCAAGGGTAAATGGAGACCTTACTCATGGTGACAGACATTACACACTAGTCCCTGGAAGTGGATGCTACTAACAAAAGGCTATTTTGAAATCATAGCTATAGTTTTAAAAATGTCAGTATTTTGAAATCTGATAGTACCTGTTGTTTTAGAAATGCTAGAAGATCAATTGTAAAAGACATATGAATGTGTAGCTGCAAAGCACATGCACTAAATCATCCCTTTAATAAGACAGGCCTGTTTTCCATGATCTAATTTTTCTCATCACACACAAAGGAAGATGCCCCTTCAAAGGTGTTTTTAAAGAGAATACCGTTGCTAAACTTCACAAATAATGTTCTCATGTTTCCTTTCTGTTTTTAAAGGCTCTTTAAAATGCACGACTATATATAAAGAGTACAGAAAACTAAATGCTTTCTGTAAAGGAAGATCTGAATTTGTAAATTTATTACAATATTACATATTACAAATTGAAGTTATTTTCTTCTAAAAGTACTTTACGAATGGCACCTCCTTTGGCCCATATCTAAAAAACAAACAAACCAACAAACCCAAGTTAAATGTACATATTTTTGTGCCTATTTATGCAAGTGGGCTTAAAAACAGGGCTGAAATTTGAGAAAGCTTCAATTTCCCAGCTACACACATCTGCAGCCAGAGTTCTGAAGACCCAACCTCATGAAACTAAGTGCCATCATCTGGCTCATCTACTTTGCCCAACCCTATCAAAATATTTACAGAGGAAATTATTTGCACGTGGAAAGCAGCATCTGCTGTTGACTGTGATCCAAGAACTACTGCAGGGTTTCTGAAGCCTAACTCTCCATCAGCAACAAATCCGAGTCAAGACTGCTGAAAAGTAACATACCATTAAGAAAAACCAGGAACACGTTTGGGTATGAAAGTTCTTCACCACAGAGCAAGTTGACATCTTCAACTCCAAGATTACTGGCTAATTTAATAATTGGGCCATCTTCCATATCCGTAGTAATGTGAGTCATGAGGGCAAGGTTTTTAACTAAACCACAAGCCTAGGAAAAAAAACAAAAACAAAACCCACTAATTTTATCCCTTCTCTTTCTATGTGTTAATACCATACTTGCATTTTTCTCCCCAAACTGTATTTATGATTGACAAAAACAAAAAGATGACAAAGTGAAAGAAATTAAATTAATTACCCTGAAATTTTGGAGGGAAAAAGGTAGAATTTTCTATATCACACTGAAATGTAATGTTTTAGCATTTACAAGGTAATTAAAAATATAGGCACTGAAATAGATTTTAAATTTACCATGTATAACCTTATGTTTCTCTCATCAGCTAGTCAGCAACATAATGGAAATACAAGATCAGTCCATTGATCAATTTTGCATGTATCCTGTATGTTCTAGCAAAAACATTAACATTTTAAATGAAAAAGTATCTTATACAGTGTAACTTTATTTCAGCTGCCAAGTAAGATTAGCTTATATTGACTTATTCAGAAAGTTATTTTCCATGTATCCTGTATGTTCTAGCATAAACATTAACATTTTAAATGAAAAAGTATCTTATACAGTGTAACTTTATTTCAGCTGCCAAGTAAGACTAGCTTATATTGACTTACTCAGAAAGTTCAGAGTTCCTCCCCCCAGAGTATCCTCTATTCAGAAAAAAAAAAGAAAGAAAAGGAAAGCAAAACAAAACAAGACTGTCAGAATCAATTCCTTGTTAGCTTATATTGACTTATTCAGAAAGTTCACAGCTCCTCCCCCCCGGGTTTTCCTCTAATCAGAAAAAAAAAAGAAAGAAAGAAAAGGAAAGCAAAACAAAACAAGACTGTCAGAATCAATTCCTTGATTGCAATATGTACAAAGATGGCTTTCTTCCACAAGTTGATGGCTAAAGAAATACTGGTACATGTTTCCAGAAACACTGCAACTTGATGCTGCAACGTGAAAACAGAATGTTTATTACAGAACAAAGGGAGAGGGGTTTAGGACTCCTCTCTTTCTGCTCTCACCAAAAGAGAACAAGTAGTTTCACTGCAAAAATGGAACCTGTTCATGTCATTCTCATATAGCCAAATGATTTCAGAACTGTTTGCAGACAATCTATGCAGGAGAAAAAAGATAATATAGTAAGGAGGACCAGGATGCAAACAGGTAGGATGTAAGTCACACAAGTTGTGTTACCAGGCTGAGGATAATTTATCTCTGTAGAAACTTCCCCATCAGAATTATTCCTGTAATGGAGGACCACCTGCTTCAAGTTAAACAGTGTCTCCATTTGTCAGGACAAGAAACACAGAAAGCAAAATAGAAATCACTCACCTCTCCTTCAGGAGTGTCAGAAGGGCAGAGCATCCCCCACTGAGATGGCTGCAGCGATCGAGGACCGCTCACTTTCCTTGTCTTTTCAAACTGAGAAGAGATCCTGGTCATCATTCCCAGAGCAGATATGTAAGACAAGCGGGACAAGACTTGTGTCACGCCTTGGCGGTCCATCTTGAATCTCTTTAGAGACCAATTTCCCTGTAGAATAAAATTAATGCTTCAAAAGAATCTGTGCACTTCATCCTTGTCTTGGCTTTTTCCAGAGTCTAGACAGAATGGTATCTGAGGAGTTTTGCAAAACAAATGTTGCCCATTTATACAAATCAAATTTCTAACTACCTATCTGCCTATAAAGTCCTAGTTATAGCATATCTGTATTAGGTATTAAAGAGAAGTTGAAACAAAAGGACTGTACATATACATGTATATTTGTATATGCATATACATATTCCATCACAGTCTTTTTCATCTGTCCCTCACAGGTAAATCAATACTCAAATTTACCTAAATTAAATTATTTTGGTTTTGTTTTATCAATTTTTTTAGTATTTAAGAAAGAAAAAGTCTTTGGAGTGATATAGCCTTTTTACAATAGATCCCATAAGCTTTCCATTTCGCCTTTTCCATGATTTGTTACTTTTGTAGGAAACACAGACATTTATACTGGAGAAGTCTGACATCAAAGCCCGCTGTACTTTTTTGAAGCTTTTTGTTTTTGTAATCCAGAGGAAAAAAACTCACTGATGTGTCTTCCCGGAGAAGAGAGTGTGTGTGAGTGTGTGGGAGGAGTAGGTCCTCCCAACTTCTGTTTGGATTACACCAAATATGAAATACTGTACTTTTTTGAAGCCTTTTGTTTTTGTAATCCAAAGGAAAAAGACTCACTGATGTGTCTTCCCCGAGAAGAGAGTGTGTGTGTGTGTGTGTGTGGGAGGAGTAGGTCCTCCCAACTTCTGTTTGGATTACACCAAATATGAAATGCAAGATCCATGAACATCTCAGAGGTTTTGTGTTTCAGGACTGTCACAGGCACTCTCACTTGTGGTTTTAATCATGAGAATAGAGGAGCTCAGAGCATGTTCTAGGACACAAATATGCTTCCATGCAAGCAGATTTAATAAACTCTACTGCAATCTTGAAATTTAGTGCTAAAATCTTTGCCTTTGTGACATTTACTCCATATCCAGTTCTCAGCAACTGAGTCAGTGGATACAGCAAGTTTCTATCTGAAATACTATTTACTGCAGGCACCACGTTACTGTTCAGTCCAAAGAGAGCAAAAGGCAGTCCTTGGGAAAATGTTAATTCTTGAACCCTTTTTGGCAAACTCAGCTCACCAATTTTAAGAAGTAACTTGAAGCTTGCTTGCTGTACTACACCAAAACCCCTTTAGAGGGTGATTTGCTTGGCTTTTTTATTTCCACTTTTAACAGCACAATCCCATTCAGTGATCAACAGGAAGAAAACACCATCCATACGAATGGTTTTGTTATTTGCTTCCACTGGAGACTATCAAATAGTCTCAAACTTGTACTAGCAGGTGGGAACACATCATGCCCAATGGCAAGTCAGTCAAACCTGTTCATTTGTTCAGCATCTTCGGGAAGAGCTCACTCACTGACCATTTCATTCTGTAAAGACTGAGAGTTATGGGAGTGTAAGTGGAAGAATACAATAAATCAGTAGTTTTTCTTCCCACTAGAAAGTATTGCATCTGTAGGCTAAGAAAGTATGTGGTTTCTCTTTTGCTGCCCAGAGAGTCTAAAATCAAAAAGAGTGGGAAAAAGGGGAAGTAAAAATGCTGCCTGAAGACATCATACAAAATATTCTTTGTGCTTTGGAAGGAATGGAATGGATCCTCCAAAATTTGATCACCAAAAAAAGAAAATCCAAAGAGGTCAGGGCAGTTGTGAGAACATCCTGTTGAGAACACTTATGAATGGGAAGTTGCCCCCTCAGTGGCATCAGGTGATTCTTCAGATGCTGAAATGTCCACCAGGCCTGTGGCACTACTGCCTGCCCTACCTTCTCTTCTGGGGTTTTCCAGGGTAAGAAGAGGAGCTGTAGCAAACATCACTGAGCACCACTGTACAGCTGATGCAGTAGGGCTATGAATTCTTTTGCATGCTACTGATGTAATTGTGAATCTGCTCAGTTATTTCATGCTCTTTGAGACTATCATTGAAGCATTCTGGTGAGATTGGAGATTGTCATTTCCAAGAATCATTTTTATGGTATTTGCTTAATCTCTTGAATGGTGTGCACTGGGCATTGTTCCTGAGAAATTATTTTTCAATGCTTAAGAGCAGATGGTGTTTAACTGCTTATGTGGCAGTAAAAAAAAGTCCAAAGACACGGGAAGAACGAAGACTTTACTGAATATGGACTGAATAATATTTGCAGATTTATCTCTGTCAGTCCAAATGGAAAAACTGGCACAAGCTAGAAGAAAGCACTAGCATTTAGAGAAACAAATCTGTCAATTGTTTTGGTTATGTGCACTGTGGAGATTTAACTACATTTGGGGCACTCATAAAATTAAACAGTGATAAGCTTTAACACTGGGATTTGTAAGTTACAGACTGTTGGTGGTTTTGGATGCAATACGTGGAATTAATTTGTTTACAAGAACCAAAGAAAAACCTCAGTTTCATGCTAGGCAGAAAAGCCCTCTCAAGAGCACCAAAGATTAAAAATTAAGTTCCACAATTTTTACCAGCTCCTAAAAAACTTAAGTCTAATCTAATTTCTTTTAAAAATCATGCATTTCAAAGTCTTTTACAAGCTAATAGCTGGATTTCAGGAGCAATCTCACAAATTGCTCTTGCAGATGTCTGAGGTGAAAGACAAAGTTAGTAGATATTGTTGTTCTTGTCCATTGGCATGAAAGAAAGTATCTGTTCCAGGAGAAGACAGAAACAGACTAAAATCCAACCAAGACAAATATTTAAAGGGTAATTATCAGAGTTTTTTAATATTATGGCATGCCGCACATTTCCCTGTTAAATAGATCAGCACCATTAGCAGAGAAGTATGAACTTCTATGCTGCAAATTTGTTCATTTCATCAACTTCAAAATAAAAAGGCACTGCCCTCAAAGAGCTCAAAATTGAGGTTAAGGGGATTTTTTTCCTCCTGCTCATGATGTTTTCCTGCTGTTTTTCAAAAATCTTTTGTACAAATGATGTAGCCTGACCCCAGCTAAATCCAGATAATAAAAAAACACATAGTCAAGCAGAACCTAGAAGACAGTCAGCTGGATAAATACAACCATGACCACTATTTTAAATGTGCCTGTTTCTACCATTCTTTCTCAAAAAGTAAAACATCAGTTTGAAATAAAAGATGCTTGATGATTCATGATTCTTCAATGAATTCCAAATGCCCTGCCCCTGACAGTTTTCCAATTTTAATCTATAAAAAACATTAAATAGATCTGCTTTTCAAACCAAAACCAGAAGATTCAACAAAAATAAATGTTCACATTTCCATCATTCACTATGGTGGAAAAGCTCTGCATCCTGAAATGAGAGCAGAAGTACTTACTGTGGAGATGGCATTGACCATGCCGTTGGTGATCTGGTCCTGCCGCATGTGCTTCACAACATCAAACTGCGCTGCACGCTGCTTGGGGATCACCTGGTCAGCAATCTTTTTCAGCTCAGAGTTAAATTTTTTGAACAAATCTTCAAACAGAAGAGAAAGAAGCTGGAAATACAAAATGGTTAAGGGAAAAATGATACTTCTTCAAGTCTAGGAAATGAGGAAAGAGACTACTTGTCAGTTAAAATGTAACTTTTCTGTTTCACAAATGATAATTTTACCACAAGTCTTTTGCCTTTTTACAGTATTAGAGAACTTTTAACAGAAATTAACTAGAATGGTCTAAGTTTATGCACTTATCCCCCTTTGCTTCACTTTAATCTTTCCTTCACAATATTTTAGCACAGCCATACTTTTCTATGCTATCCAACTATTTTCCCTAATGTGCTATATTACAACCCAGCTGATTTACTTCCCCCCTGAAGTTATAAACTCTTTTAAAGATTTAATGCTGTAAATGTACAACCTTGAATTACACACAAGATCTGCAGGCAAGAATGGTTTTTACTCTAACACATAGCTCAGGTTTCATAGGCAGCTTCCTTACTCATACACACTTCTATCCTGCTACTTTCTGCCAATCACAATCTGTGGAAAATATTACACCCACAGAGAGTTCACCTGTGGATGTTCAACATCTGTCACTGTTTTGTAGAACTGCTACTATCTGGAAACTGCAATACTTTTCACATGTCCCTCTTAAAAAATACAAACCAACAACCCAAAAAGTCTACAGTTTAGGCAATAAAGCTACATATCTCAGCTGAATATGAAAGAAACCCCAAACAATCAACCCAAAATGAACCCAGCAACAGAACCATTCAAAAGTGTGACATTTTAACACAATTATTTCCTGTATATTAATTACTTCTTAAAATAGCCATAAAAGGAAAAGGCTACCAAAGTTGTGATCTGACTTTTTCTGCTGTCTAATCTGCTTTGTTTCTGCAGTTTGTTCAGCCTCTCCTTGCATCAGCAATAGTTTTCAGAACATTTAAATCTGCACCTCATGATACATTTTAAGTGTTCAAAACAATTAGCTTTGCAAGCAAGCAGTGTAAACTCTAAAGCCTGCACTCATGTCCTGGGACCTGAGTCTACAACAGCTCCAAGTGTCAGAAGAACCAAAAATGCAGCTGCTATCAGTGCCACGAATGGTAATTCCCTGCGTACAAAGCACTCAGTGTAGAACAAGCTATGTGCTCATCCCCCACAGGCTAGGACATTCTGGAGTCATTTGTACCATACAATTTCAGTATATGCAGAATTAAACTGTATTTTACCTGTCTCCATGAGACACAGTCCCCACCTTTCCTTACCTTCTGGAAACAAGAAAGTAAACCACTCTCACTCTTCTCTCCCTAGGATGGGCCACTAGCTTTCATTTCCTTTTCTCCACCTACATGCTCCAGCTGGGCTGACCAAAGCATTTAGCAAATGACACTGTAAAGCTGGTGACAGCACATAGTGTGCTAACCCTTGACAGAAGTGGAATCCTATTGCCATTCTGGACAGACAGGTTATCAGACCCGACCTTGGAATGAGAGGAAGGTGCTGTAGAGCCTCTTCTCCTTCCTGATGTTTGTAATACCATCAACAGTTGCAAAATGATACTCTCTCACCACTGTCACAAGAAATCCACTCACCTACGATATCACAGTTAATTTAAATTAGATTTCCACCAGAAATAAAAGCAACTTTTACGAAGCATTGTATTAGGAAGGAGAATGCACTGGAGTTCCCAAAAATAAGATTATGAAGGAAGAGTTTCAGAAGTAGGGAAAAAGTAAGAGGAGGAAATGTGTCATTTTAAGATGGCTGATAGACTTGTTAAATAAGAACTAAACTCTTGAAACTAACTACAGTAAACATTTCATCTAGACAGGTTTGAGCAGGATTGAAACATTTAACTAATTTAACTAATCACTTAAAAAATTACTCAGAACTTGTTTTCATATTTGATTTCTTGATCAAAAAACTGCAAGAATCTCATCATTCCTTATGTCATGGGGATTATAAAGCCACACCACATTTCCTCTTCTCTAACTAATAAAGTCAGTTACAGCCCAAGTACACCAACTTGTTACTACCTGCCAGTCTGAAAAGCCTCATACTTTGCTAATTTCACTCACAGACTCTCTAAGAGCTGGGACTATCTGGCAAAGAAGAATTTCACAATAACCACATTATTTAGGTCAAGAGCAAGAGATTAAAGAAAAAGGATGGAATGCCACTGATAATATTCAATGGATTTTGTAGTTAGTCCAGGGCCTTTCAGCCTTCTTCAGAGAGGAGCACTAAAGAGCAAATTATATGTAAGGAAAAAAAATTCTGACAGCTCACCAATTGATTTTCATTGAAAATCCTAAGAAAAATTAATAAAGAAGTTAAGCTGCTGAAATACAGTTTCAGCAATTAGCTTAATGTCAGAGAATTCTAATTAGGCGCCTTGAGATTGCTATTTAGCGTTTAAGCCTTTAGAGTGCCAAATTCTCCCTTTCACACAAACTGGTTGCAAAATTAAAGACATTAGGCAGCCTTAATTATATTATCAGAACAGCTGGGATTAGGCAATCTCTGAAGTCAAGGCGGTATTCTTTTGTCACAGGGTAGAAATCCCTTGCCTTCCAGGGTGCCGGATTTTGGTGCTGTTCCATATCTCACCCATACAAAGCAAGCTGCATTAGAAACAAAAAAAAAAAAAAAAAAAAAAAAAGAAAAAAGAACAGAGTAATGCTTAGCAAATAATGAACACATTAAGGGAAGAGAAAAGGTAGGTGAAAAGATTAAGCCTGAAATCGGTAGGTTTTGCTAACACCTCAGCTGGCACCTGGCCTACTGGGCCTCTAGTGGCAGGCAGACTAAGAGAAAGCTCTGTAAACCAGCTTGGCCAGTGGATACAACTCTGTTATCTAAAGCTAAAGCACATTTCGTACTCTCTTGTCCCATGGGGTGTGAAATTAGCAGCTATTGTTTTCACACATTTTTATAAACACAATGCCATTTATGTCTTTACACTGTTTAGACCGCTGTGTTTTTCTCCTCACAGGGGAATCTTTTATTTTTAATTTATTCAGATTTTAAATCAACAGGATTTTTATTCCAGGAACATGATGCTGGCATAAAAAAAACCCAAAACAAACCACCACCAACCATTTTATCCACACAAACTTTAGCGAAACACAAACATCTAGAAACTGGCAAAACTCTACAATCCAATAAAATTAGTATTTCACCAAAGTTTAGACTGCAATCCAATAAAATTATTATTTCACCAAAAAAACAGCAGAGGGAAATTACACCACTCAGCTTGAAATGAGCATTTAAAATACCACTAGAGAGAAAGAACTACTCTTAATCAAGTGTTAACCCCTCCACCCCCTCACCCCTGCAGAGGTCTTCTTGATGTAGAAAAAATATGCATTGGCTTTGTTGCGATGATCCTCTACATTTAAAACCTTTCCCCACATAATTTAAAACAACTTTGGCTGTTAACATCTGTGTGAGCAGAGGCCTTTTTCTTACAGCTTGTAGAAAATTCTTTACCTGCTCTACTTTCTGCTTCTAGAAGTATTAGGAGAAAACAAACTACTCCTTTGTTAAATAAGAACAATCTGCTGACAAAGCAACAGCTAATTTACTGATTACAGTCATATTGAACTACAGCAGTTACAGCAGAAACCCAAGAAACACATCACAGCTTAAAATATGTATTCCACTGAAATGTTGCACTACTGTCCATTTACTACTCCTTACACTTTAGAAACATATTCTGCCTCAGCACCAGTGCAAAAATTTGATGAACAGTAAAGACATTAATTTCAAGAAAGAATTCTCTTATCCTAAAAAGTTTTTTCATTGCATTTGTGCTTTGAATGTGTTCAAGAGTGCCATCTTAATTTCTTCAGAAAACTACAAAGCAAAGCATGTGGTTTTTACTCTAAAATAATTGCACTCGGTGTGTGTGTTCACATATGGGCATAGAGGGCAGGGTGGAAAGGAGGAGTATGAGACAATATGCAAGCACACATCTTAAAAAGTGTAATAAAATGAGAATTTTCACTGGATAGGAACAAAATGGAATAAATATTGTTATGTGTGCAGAAACAGAAATCCCAACACAAACGCTGTGGGCAGCAGAGATGCAGTTTCTGCAATCCAGGGCATTTTGTCTACTTGTCTGAACTTCTGATGCATGATCAATAACCACAGGTGATACCAACTACTAAAACTCCAACTAGCATTAGCACAGCAAAGAAGTCCAATCCTAACATAAACTGTTTAACCAAATAAGCACACATAGCAAGGAAAAATCCATGCCACATTAGCTAAGCAGTTCCTTTACCTGACAGGTAAACTCCTCCAGCATTAGGAGAATGCAGTTTGGCCAGCAGCTGTGAACTGCCACCCTCACTGCAAAACAACAATGCCAGACACCTCAAACCATTCCCTCCTCTGCAGCCCTTGGATACTGCTTCTGCCTCCAGTGCCAAAATTCTGCAAGCAGAGAACTCCACAAAATCCACTTTCATTAGCTGCCCAAGTTAACTTTGAATATTTTGTTAATTCATGCCACCCTAGAGGCCAGAGAGGCAGCTGACAGCAAACAAGCAATCTTATGGGCACCAAATTACAGGAGGCCTGAGTGGCTGTTCTGTGAGCTGGTACACAAGCTGGGTTCTCCACAGTGGGACAGCCTGGACATGACATGCAGGCACCTCCTTTGCCCCAGTTTATTCCCTTACCCAGCTGCTTAAAGGGGAACACTGGGGGATGGCTCTTACTGCTGCCTTCTTGACACTAGCAGTGTTATGCCACAACCAGGACTGATTCTCTATTTGCACTGCTCTGTCCTTTCATCTGGTATAAAGAGGCAATACAGAAGTGAAGACAAAATGTATTAGTCTCAATCATGAAAGCAGATCTATGAGTCAACATGGAAAAGCCAATGAAAATAAAATGAGAGGGAGAACACTTCAGTTGAGAAGACAGAGATACTCTTTATTCCTTATTCTGCATCTTTTAAGAGGAGACAGTAACAAAACCCTGAAACACTTGGCTCTGAAGTAAAAACTCACCTGCCCTGCCAGCTCCAAACGTTTATTTCCATAATAGTCTCTGTCATCTACTTTATTTTCTCCTTGAGCCAAAATTACTCTGCGTACCATCACTGCTGTGTATATGCACTTGGCACGAAAATTGAATTCTTTCACCTGTAAAAAATAAAAAAAAACTAAACAAAACAAAAACATATCAGTGCTTCAGGATCAGCTCCTTAGTTCTTATTCAGACAAACCCACTGGTAATCCTGGCTGACTGAGTTACAAAAGGGATTTTAGCACTTTATTTTCTTTAAAAATGCAAAAAATAAATGTTAGTGACTTTGAAACAGATAGCAAATGAAACTAAAACAGAATAAAGATATAGGTCATGAAAAATGAAAGTCCTGAATTCACACCTGATACTGTCTGGCTATGTACAAAAAAGTGCAAAAAGGTTTGATTAGTTCAATGGTAGAGCAGTTCACAAAGATTTATTTTGACTCAATCCAAGTCTTCCCCTTTATTTTGAGGATGATTTACTTTATCTCAGCTACAAAGCCATAGAAGACATTTTCCCTGCCAACAAAGCTCACACCATAAATAACCATACAAGCTTACTCTTGTTTAAAAAACCCCCAGAACATTACATACGAGCACATGGGTCAGAATGGTTGATGCCAGCAGCTCTCGGGCTTCTTCCATCTTTGTTTTCTTTGGGCCTCCCCACATCCTCTGCCTTCGTACTTTGTTTCCAATGTACTTCAACGCCTGTGAAGGGGGGAATTAACCTGAGTTAATACCAGAATTGTGACCTATACAAATACACACACACGTTACGTGTGTATTCCTCAACCAGTGCCATCTCACCACCAATGGATGATACAAACATCAAACAAACTGCAAAATAACAAAGATGTAAGTGATACTAACTTACAAACAAAACTTAACTAACAAAAAAATTCCGGAAAACTGACACAATTGATGATGCATACAATGTGTTTGTCACAGGTTGGTAACATTTGGAATGGAAAGTGGTGGAAATTCATGATTACTATAACACTAAAAGAAAGGATATGGCAGAGATATAGAAAAAAGGATTCTATAAATTCCAAAGATATCCAGTTTATTTAATTAGACTTTTCACCTTCAGTTCTTTTGTGTACTTGCTAAATTCCATTCAGATATTAAACCATTAAACCTCACTGTTTAATATCCCCAAAAGCTACTGTGTGGCATCCATGTCTGTCCCCAGGAGTGCCTTGCAGCGGATTCTTACTTTCCTACCAGCTGTCAATCAATCTGCAGAATTCCTAGTTAGATGAGTCAAGAAGCTATCCAAGCCCACACAAGAAGTTCCTGCCTGGAAGTCATGAAGCTATGTGAAAGAATTGCCCTCTCCACTAAATGACAGATTATCCTTTCCATCTGTTACACTCTTCCACAATAAGCTATCTCTCTATTAACTTCATTTGACATTTCTTGCAGAGAATAACTTCTGTATTTCTGTTTTTCTAACTTTCTGAATACTTCACATTCCTCTGTGTTGCTCCAGCTCACTTACTCATCTGAGACTGAATTAGGAGCTCTTCAAGCTAACTGGAACCCTCAAAAGCCTCCAAAGATGAAAACCAGAAAGATGTTCACTTTAAAACCCTAAACATCACACATGGAATGATTTGACAAAGTTTACAATGAAATAGCAGAAATAGGATTAATGTCCAAAAGCTTCTTCTAGCAGATTAATATATACCCATTTGCTCCCAGCAAAATGGCCCACAGTCTGGCTAACTAAAAAAGGTGCATGAGCTAAGGGAATTCTGCTGAGTCTTTAGCAGGATAGAGGGTAGCTGCTATGTAGGCTTCATGCAGGACACTAAAACAGAAGAACATCTACTCATGATGAAATGGTCATAGCCACATCAACAGGGCTTCAGCAAAATGGGGCATGCAATTCCCTTTTTAAAAAAGTCTTCAACAAACCCCCCTCATTTTATGGACATTGCTACTTTTTATATACAGGGTTATGCCATTAAAACACAACCAAGCATTGCTTGACTTTGATTTTTTTTCTTCTCCAGTTAGGTTATGAGAGCCAAGACTCACATCTGACAAGCCCTGACCCTTTAAAAAGCCTCAGCTTGAAATAAATCCCCCCAAAAAAATCTTAAAACAGAAAGTCTATGTCCATTGCTGACACAGCAAAGTGGTCAATACCCACTATCTTGATTTTTATGGTCTCTGGCCATGTGAAAGGACACACCTGCATCTGTGTAAAAATCTGAGCTTTTTGGCATTCTTCCAGACTAGGAGCAAATGCAGCCATCACATGTTCCTCTGTGCCAATCATCTGTACAATCTCCTGGTCACTCTCAACACCCATGGCCTAGGAAATGAAGAAAAGACAGAAATAACACAGGCTTTATGTTAACTCACTGACATTTGCTTATGCTAATTTGGTATTGTTTGTCTGCATTACTACTAAGCAAGAGCTAGTTCTTCTCTAAGAAACTGTGCCATCTGGCACTGGCAGCACATATTCCAGCTATGGAAATCTTGATAAGCAGCAGGAACACACACACTTTTTGGAGAGCCTATTTGGGGTTTTCTTTCTTTTCTTCACTGACAGGAGTTAAATTCTGTGGGTTTTTTCTTAAGAAAAAAAAATACTGAGTAAAAACAAACCAAGTGTTTAACAATGAAAGCCAAGTCAGAATCTACATTAAAGAAAGGAAGGTGAAATTTCTTAAAGGAGTACTCACAGTCTCTTACCACAAGTAATTTTGCAAACTCCATTTGTGATGTAGCTCATCATATTTGAGAAATGTTTATCCCTTTGCAGCTCTCTGCATTTAGAAGATGACTTCACTACACAATTCCACTTGAAAGACATTCTATTCTTTCACTGATCCATGAACACCTTGTTAGACTTTATACCGTGGAAAAAGCTTAATAAACTAAGAAAGCGCTTAACAGGTTTAGAAAAATCTCTCTATCAGTAAGTGTTTCAAGGTGGCAGCCAGCAGTGAAGGCTTTTGTGGATTCCAGATGGTGCTAAAGCTCCCCTCCTTCACACATTTGCCTGGAGCTCAGCCATATCAAGAAATGGAATAATCTCACTAAACCTCCTCTGGCTGAGTTATAATATGTTCCTCAGAACTGTGAGGAAGTTACGTTCACATTCACATTATTCTCCAAAATGCCTGCCACAAAGACCATCATAAATAATGGCCTATGTAGACTCTAGTATTCTGGTTCTCATTAAAAACTGGCAGTACCCCAAAAAGTCGTATTTTCCTCAAAAATGCAGAAATACCTTCCCTTCTTATTGCCTTCATGGAGTGTCACTTTGCTTAACACCTAGCAAACACCATACCCTTGGAAAACTGTTGCTCTAATTGTGAAGCATTCAGCTTCTTTTTTTCTTTCATTTCCTTCTTTTTGAACAAAGAAGTGGCTGAAGTTCCTTTAAATTCAAACACTGTCTTTTCACCTTGTGGTTTATTAGAAATTAAAAGTGCTGCAGAAGTATCACACACCCAGAACAGTGTGAGGACTCTCCTCTTTTAATGCAAAGCCCAGATCACAATTCCACCATCTCAGACAGACTTGAGTGCCAACTCAAGATACAGTTACTTCACCAGGTATGAGTGTTTCATCTTAGTTTGATCCCATTAAGCAGTTACCTCTCTGATCTCAAGGCTCTTTTCAGAACCAGAAGTTGGCCGTGTGACATTATTGTGGTTGAGATCTCTGTTTTTCAAATATTATTACACTTCCTCACCCTTTTAAATAAGGTCACACAGTAGTTCAAAAATCTCAGCAGAGAAGTTAACAAAACTCCCTCCTGACTTGAAAGCCAGACTCAAAAGATAAGTCTACAAAAGCATCAAAGTTTCACAACAGTAAGGTTCCATGTGTCTAGGATTTAACAGCTGACCAGCGAACTAGTTTAGGAACAACAACTAGATTCATACAATTATTGCATTTAGTCTAGAAGTTTTCACAACAAATTTTTTGTGCCATTCTAGGCAAGTATAACACAAATACATTTATCTAAAGCACATCAACTGCAAGCTGGTATCACCCTATTTCTGTCCATCAGGTTAATTCTAGGATGGCAACCATCTTAAAATGGTTAAAATGTTTTAAGATGGTTTTAACCATCTTAAAATGGTTAGAATCTTAAGTGTCATATAAAATCTGGGGGGAAAAAGTCAATTTGATTTTTTTATTATGTTTTTTTCATCCATTAAAAACTGGAAGCCATAGTAAATTAAAGAGGGTTGATGATTTCTTCTGCCTGGATGAATCCTGTGATCAAGAGTTACAACAAAAGGATGAGAGTAAGACAGATCTTTATGCCTGCGTAGATTTTCTAGCTGGAGTTTGTAGCAGCAAAATCACCTGAGATTCTAAATTTCTGAGTGGGAAAGGCTAGGATCTGTCAGCAAACAACATAGGTTGTGTTGTTAAATATGTGCAAATTTAACAAAATTAATTTGTGAGTAATGACTAAAACTCAAGCAAATGACTGAAAAATATGTGATAATACAACAGCCTAAAAGTAAACCTATTTATTCTCCTTTATACTCTCAACCATCCTGAGCAGAGTTGTATACACAACACCACCTACATGCAACCCTAACAGGACAAGCAGCAGGCCCATGCTGCTTTCAGACAGATTTGTAATCTTAACATTCTGGTTTCCAGTAAATTTGGCCCTGATGTTACCCTTCCAAGAAAAACCAAACAAACAACTAAAAAACCAAACCAATACAAGAGAAGTATTCCAGAACCGGCCTGTAACATCATTAGGGCAGTAACAAAATATTCCTTGGTTGTTGCCTGTGTTACAGAAAGACAGAAGACATGCAATATAGGAATGGGCCCTACACTTAAACACTCGCAGTCCTAGGACAAAGCTGAAGGAAAGGGAATTAACATAAAAGCAAAGCAGTAGACAAAATGTCTTGTTCCTTTTTGATTGGAAGGCGATGTCACAAAGGGATAATTTTATGGGGGAGGGGGGAAGGAGACATTGTAAAAGCATAATTTAACAGTGGCAGTGAAAGGATGAGGAAGGAGACAGGAGCAGGCTGCTGAAGACCACAGCTGAAGGCTAGCAGTCAATGTACATAAAAGAGACAAGGCAAAGCAAGCATTCAGATCATCCTGAGTTCAAGTGGGAGAAAGTGATCCAAGTGGGCTCAACTCCCTCCTAGGACTGGGGAGCTTCCCTCTGCCCAAACATGTATGTGTCCACCTTTGTGTGTGCACACACGTGTACAGATGAGAGTGTGAGCCTTCTACTCCCTCCTAGGACGGGGGAGCTTCCCTCTGCCCAAACGTGTGTGTCCACCTTTGTGTGTGCACACACGTGTACAGATGAGAGTGTGAGCCCAGCTCTTCCTCCCCCAGCTCATGTCTTAATGATGATGTCTAGGCGTTTCCATGGCACTTTCCTAGAATGTAGTTCTGCACTCCATCAGGCTAAATTACAGCACAGAGACAGGCAGATGACTGGATTAAAAAGATGTCAGGGAAGTTCAAGGTTGACATCACAGACAGAATTGGTCTGGAGCTTTCATAATTCAAAAGATACGAGCTATGAAACAACAGCCATGGGAACCCATAATCCTGCAGATCCAGTCAGACCACCACCCAGCTGTTCCTCTACAGCTGCACCTTAACAGCTCCAAGGCTAAAGTAGGTTTGTAAAAACTCAACTTGTGTTCAAATCTTTTGCCGCAGGTCGTAGAGTGGTTTCTTACAGTTCCCACATAAACTAAAGATAGTTCATCTAGAGATTCAAGTCATAAACTCAACTTTTAAGTCCCTGTAGGTTATTCATAATCCTCTTCCTTCCCTAACCACTTTGGATGCATCATGCAACCTTCACTTACTTTAGCTCCCAGGACTCACTCAAACCTACCAAATCGAGATCACAAACTCAAAATAAAAACAGCCCTTACCTCTGAGCAGCTCTAACTCCCTCCATTGTAGGGAGCTTCCTGCAAAAGCAGCAGCACCATCTTACCTCCAACTCAAATGATTTTCAGGACAGAAACACCCTTACATACCACACAAATATTCCACACCTCCTCCAATGTCCACTGCTACCTGGAACTGTCCAAGCCTCCCAGGTAAAGCATGTGTACCTCCAAGCCCAACATTCAAAAGAGCACTGTGCACAGTTCACACAGCCCTATGAGATGGGCACAACTGACAAAGCTAAAACAAAGGTCTCTTGGGGTTGCAAAGCAGCTCAAGATATCCTAAATACCCCTGTGGTCGCATATGTATATCAACTAATGAAGAAGTGTTATAAAGTAAGCAGGAAGCAAATTAGCTGTGTTTGCTTCCCATTACAAGGCAGTTAACAGCCCTTCAAAAACTGCAACAGACACATACATAAGGGGCAAAATTGTCTGCTTACGTCACTACTTCAAAATTAACATTGCATTTCAATATAAAGGGACTGCACAAATGCTTCTGTCACATATCAGAAGAAAGGTTAGGGAAAACTGTTTAAGCTAGCACAGCTACAAAGCTCTAACTCCCCCACATCTGAAGAGCAGATACCCCAAGTCTGCCCCAGAACAGCGCCAGGCACATGCCTTTTGTAGCCTATCAAATTTCAGTTAGTTGTGGTCAATGTGCTAAATTTCACAAAGCCACAACTTAGATGTGTTTGGCACAACTGGCTGTAAAACGTCGGAGCATGCCCATCCCCAGGATCCCTACAGGTCTGGAAGGCAGAAAAAAAAAGCAACAGGACAGTCATTCTGGCTTGCAGTTATGGAGGAGGATGAATTGAAGGCAGATGCCTCCTTCAGGGTGACCCCACACAATCCAGTCCCTATCTATCCAGATCAAGGGACATTTATATCTATTCTATTTCCCAGCTCCCCACAGCCCAGGTGCCTGGGCTTCATTCCTCACCAAAAGCAAGGATGGAGAACACTGTGTTCAGGTCTTTCCCTAGCATGCAGCTCTGTCCATGACTTTATACCTGAAACACAAGGGTGACCTTAGATTCTAGTCTAGGGAGATCTAAGAATTTTAGGCCTCAGCTCTGTCAGTTGGTGATGTTTGTAATGTTATCTATTTCACAGTCCTTGCTTTTGACAAAGATGTCTAGAGGATATACTAGTACACCTCCACCTTACAGATGCAGTAGCTTTAAATACACTTTGGATTATAGATCTGCAATACTTGCTTTCTCTTCTATGATTTTCTGCACCTGATCTACTTCTTAAGTCACATACATCAGGACAATTAAAGCTATAGGGACTAGAAAAGCAATCCAGAATTGCTCACTGTCTCTCAGATAGTCCCTGACAAACTGTCCCCTCTAGATGGCAAATGCACTGAATGGTAGCCCTCTACCAATTATTATTTGTTTTCTTAGTCAAAACACAGAGGTCTGTGGAACTTGGTTGTAGCCTGGATGCTGGTTTGGGAGGAAATGCAGAGCAATAGATTTTTGCCTTTGCTTTCTCATTTTAGTTTTTAATTAGAAATTAAACATGTTTCAGAACAAATTAAGGATTTAAAGGCAGTCATAACTTCAGACCTTAGATTGTCTATATAACTTAATTTCTAATTAAGGATTATTTAATCCTTAGCTGTTTCAGTACAAATTAAGGATTTAAAGGCAGTCATAACTTCAGACCTTAGATTGTCTATATAACTTAATTTTGTCCCTCGCAGATGTGAATCTCTACATCACAAGAAGTAAAACAGCCACTAGTAACAAGGAAGACACATGCTTCATGCCCAAGGCTTGGGTGCTGGCATAAAGGAATTATTCTCCTTGCTTTTCCAACAAATATCCGCTGTATAATACTGCCATGTGAGAAACCTGAAGTTCGACAGGCATCCCTAAGTTTGGGATTCTCCAAGCTGAGGAATATTGAGTTTGTAATCTTGCTTCTAGTAGTTAAATAGAATGAGGCAATTGCACGTTACAGCAATGCCCAAGAAAGGAAAATTGGAGACTGGTGACTGCTTTCATTTCCAGCTGGAGACTCACCAGAAGTAGACAGAAGATCCCTGAATTTCATGTTGTTAAAGGAAGGGTAAAAAAGATGACCACTCATGAGAATTGCTGGAATGGAACATTCAGAATAGTTAAAGTGGGTGTAGCTAATTTGATACTGTATTAAATCAATATAAATAATTGAAAAGCATTACAGCCAAGAGCTTATGACAACTGTGATCCCTTTTGCAATTAATAAATGAAAAATTAAGGAATATTATTTAAAATATAAAAGATACTTAAGAAGAGGGGGATAATTGCAGCAAGCGTTGTCAGAAGGTAATAAAATAGTCAGTACCATTTTGCTTAGATAAACAAGCCAACAACCATCTCCTCAGACAACAACCCAGAACAGTTACTCTACGTGAGCAGCTATTTAGCTGTACCAGCACAGGCTGACAAAATGTAATAGAAGTCTATAAGGTAAGGTGGAATCCAGCAGTTTGATATTGAAGTAAATGGATTAAGAGCCACGTTAATACTTTCCTGCAGCACAAGAGTTGTGAACTTAATTCTGGTACTTTTACATACATTTCTGTCCATAAATACCTTCTCAAAACTCCTTTAACCCCAGTCACTAAAAACAGATATCTTTCTTATTTGAAGAGATTTGCTTAATCAGAGGTAACAGCCATTTATTTCTCAAGTCTAAGCCCAATGATTAAACTATTTGCTAGTACCAAGGCACACCAAGTGCAGCAGTAATTGGGACAAACCCGTAAATAACAACTGCGCTGCAGGCACGACCCGCGCGGATGCTGCGACCTCGTGCTGCCCCCTCCTGGCACATCATCTCCTGCGACCACCCCTCCGAACCTTCTGGGCTGTAACCCACTACAGAGAACACAAGAAGAGGCTTTTTTGTGCCTTCGAGAACACCGCCCGATTTCCTCCTGCACACGCCCCGTAGCAGGCTGTAGGCGTACAGGCAGCAGCAAGGCAGGACAGGAGAGGAAGGAGCTCCAGCTGCTGGCAGCACAGCTCAGCCTCAAGCCTGGCCATGCCCTACTGTCCTCTCTAGCAGCTGGACAGGGCACGTCCACCCACCACCTCTTCTGGCTGCAGTCCATGCATTTGATTCCACAGACAGAAAACCAGAAACAATGACCCTTAACACAACTTGTAACACAACAAACCAGAAAGCTTCTGACCTGCAGCAACAGAGGCACCTCATAAGGCAGAGTAAGGGGGTGGCAGGTATTTATTTGTCTTGGCCCAGCAATGCTCTCCTTGCAGAAAAATACAGCACTTATTCTCCTTCTTGCTGTACAATAAAGATTACTTCCCAGGGGAAAAAAGCTTGCAGTTTCTAAGCCCTGCCAAGTCCTTCTGTACATATTAACTTGAGAGCTGCTGTCAGTCTTCACTCTTGAGCTACAGCACAGCATTTTTCCCCCTTTTCTTTTTTTTTCCCCAAACAAACAGCTGTGTTACCTTAAATATGATAGCAATGGGAATATCTTCTGACAGCGTGTTGTGCCTCAGGTAAAATCTTCCTTGTTTCACAACCATATTTGTTCTGCTCTTCTTCTCATGAGTGGAACTGAAGTTAAAATAGAAATAATACTATGTCCAGAGTGTTTGCACAGACTCCTAGAATCTTTTGTATAGAACTTAGCAAGCTTGAACAATCTTTCAGCTGAATTAATACCATTTCTTCCTCTTTTAAAAATTACATCAAGCCAGTCAGGGATCAGCCTGTAACTTCAAGGGTATTATCACCTGTGCTGGGGACAATTTGGAATGTTTGACTTAAGCAAGTGGAAGTCTGTACTTTTCAAAATCATCTTTACATGCTTTGCTAATTAGTTTTGATGTAACCAGCTAGGTCCAACTCAAAAAGTACTGCAGCAACAGTGGTAACGATGTAACAGCACTTGGTGGCCCATTGACCTCATCCAGACTTACTGAGAGACAGCAGAGTATCTGGGAGAGATGGGAGGCCTCTGGAGTAGAAAAAACAGCTCTCACACTGAACAATGACAAGCACCATAGAATAGACCAGAATGCAGATTAAATAAAAAAAAAACAACAAACCAAAGGCCGAACAAAATAGAAACAAAACTTGGTCAAGGAGGAAAGGCCAAATTTAGATTACTTTGCTATTTTTAGTAATTTGTGTTGTACAAAAATATTTGTTTCATCCTCAGCTGCCCTCGCCTTCAAAAATTTTTATGCCGTTTTTATGTAGAGAGGCAGACAAAAGGTTACATCCAATTTCCAATGCAGTAACTTCATGTTACTTGCTGCAAACTGAGACCAAACACCATCAGTTACAAAGTGCACTTTGTTACAGTAAAAATCAGAACTTGCTTTCCTAATCTGAGATGAATCCTGAAACACATGAGCAACTCTCACTGATTTTTGTAGGAATACTATAGTGCTTAGGGATTGAAGTTATAGTATACAAAATGACAGCAGAAAGACAGGAGCATTGAATATCTACAGCTTTTTCTGGTTCAACTATACTAGGAAGAATCCTCCACAGCTATTTCAACTACAACAATGAAGTTCTAAAGCATTGGGTTTCTCTCCTTTATGTAACGGTAGGAATTTACCATACCTGGTAACAGAAGCGCCAACTGTGCCTTTTCTATCAGCTTCAACAATGATTCTGTTTTTGGATAACTGCTCTTGAATAAGAATGACTTTCTCAACACCTTTAACAATGAAATAGCCACCTAGTTAACAGAAAAAAATATTTTGCATGTCAGTACCCTCGCACCTTACCTGCCTCCTCCAATATGCCTTTGAATATAAATTATTAGAAAGTAAACCATAAGTACACAATGGGAGAGTAAACTCTCCCTTAAGAATAATGAACAAACTTGACAGACAAAAACCAAAGAAGTTGTTTGTTATAACCTTCCAACTCCTCTCTAGATATTAAATAATACCATGTAATACTTTATTCTTGCTTTAAAAAAGGCAATGACAAAGGAGAGTTCCCATTCTGGAGGACACCATACTCCACTGTTTCCTAATCTGTTTAATTTTCAATGAATGAACTCCATCTTTTTCCTCCCACAGCACATCACTGTAGAACACTATACACAAAATTCAAAATTAAATATTCAAAATTTTGGTGTATTGCTTTTTGGTGTTGAAAACTTTGTTTGCAAATAGCAACCATTCATGTTCTCAACCAAAACCCTGACAACTTCTTTTAGCTGCAAGCAGACACTTGAGAAGTTTTCACAAAGACTTAATGGTGGCAGAAAAGATACCAAAGGGATATTTCTTTGCTGAAAAAGAATTTAAAACTCAAAGCACAGATGGGGAAAAATAAGAACATGAGTGAAAACATACCTGGATCTAATGGACACTCATTTAGTTTGGCAAATTCTGCTGGAGTTTTCCCAGTAAGTACACAATTGGAGCTACGCAGCATTATAGGCATTCTGCAAGAAAACCAGTTACAATTTTACTTCAGACTCACACAGAAAAATATGAATAGTCAAATTCAGAACAAAAACCAGGCTGAACAAACTGGAGATACACATTTAAGGTAATCAGAACTCATGCATGCTGTAATGAATTTTCATTTAAATTCACCTCATTTCATTGAACATGTAATTGAAAAGAGACCTGAAACTGGACACCTGCAAGCAGAAACCACAGACTTCCTATTTAATTGTTATGCAGCTACTCAGACATTGTGACAAGCAGGGTCACCAAATCCAATGACAATTAGTGCAAAGACTCTTGGTCCCCTAAACAGTCTGCAGAGAACATGCCACTGCATATCCACTGTTACCACTTTTTCTAAGACAAAGTTAGTTCATATCTCATTTCCCACACAGGAATGACACCTTCTGGCTGCAGAGAGATAGTGCCTCTAATTCATAAGCATGAAGTTTCCCCAGTAGTAACTTTGATTTTCCTGGTGTCCTAGCACTGAAGCCTGCAAGCAAGCATTTTGTGAAGCAACATGTGGTGGAAAGATATTCCAAGAATTTTTAAGAAATTCAATGCTTAGGGAAGTAAATAAAAGAGAAACTAAAGATTCACAGACTGCATGTGAGGCAAAACCTCTTCACCATGAGGGCAGTCAAACAGTGCAAAAGCTGCACAGGGAAGTTGGGCAGTCTGAATTCATGGAGGTCTTGAGGACCTGACAGGATGAAGCACTGAGCAGCCTGGTTTGATCACAGAGCTGACCCATTTCGAGCAGGTGCCTGTACTAGAGGCTGAGAAGGAGATCGTACTCTTTCAACCTGAACTGCTCTATCACCCCATGATAAATCATGGAATGCCCACTTTAAATATGGCTTATTCAACATCTAACCCACAATGATTTTGCAGTTATTATTGAAAAGAGTACTTTCATAGTCAGCTTCATAATGTGCCTTTTCACTCCCAGATTTTTCATTAAAACTTTGGAAAGAGAGCACAGTTTACTTCTGAAGAGAAAGCTGTATTTTTCAATACCACTACATCTACCAAAAGATCTCCATGCCCTTTAGCCTCTTCTACAAAAAAAGCTGACTTTTGATCCAGCTTACAGAACTTCACTCCTTGGTGGACAGCCTTTGTAAGAACTGTGTTCCAAGTGTTTTCTAAAACACATGTTGACAAAAATTATTCGTGAGTTCTACTAAACAAATATTTTCAACCTCTGAGATTTTTTATTCAAATTTACTTTAATAAAAAACAAGATTAGGCTATACTTCTTGTATTCAAATCCCATAAATTACTTTAATTTCTTCTTTAATTTCTTAATTTCTTTTATGTTTTCATATTCTTATATGTTAAAAGTAAACTGATGAACTCAAATTCTGTACTTCTGCAGAGTAAAAACAGCCATCTTGTCACTTTACTTCACTGAGAAAGTGTTTCCTAGAGAAAAGAAGCTTCATATGACAAGCAAAATCTGTCACACACAATATAAGCTTAATGCATTGGCTGTTTATATCAGAAACAGGAAGCACCTGGCATAATGTAAAATGGAATATTCAAATGCCACTACTGAAAACTCCAGTGAAACATCTGTCCCAGTCCAAACTGCATGTCAAGCAGGAGCATTGGCCAAAGGAAATGAGTATAGTCCTAGGGATAGATGAGCAAAATTCTTTCCCATGGAAATAATTACTGGATATTAACAGTTTTTAACAGCAAGAAACTTTTTGCATGTATGCCCTTAAAGCCAGTCTAGTAACGTAACTTAAGCAATTTTAAATGAAAGCTTAACTTGTGCAGCAGAACTAATGTTTGCTCTACTGGTTTTATCATCCACCTTCCACAGATACTACTCTACATACTATATATGAAAGATTGAGCAATTTAGCTACAAAGCAAACATGCCTGATTTCATTTCACAATAATGCAGCTTGCAGCTCCAGGCATGCATTTTCCCTGTGGTTTTATATCAACAGAATCAAAGACAACATTCACTCTTATATCCATCCTTCTCTGGAAGGAGACATTATCAGAGGCTTTTAGAAAACAAGATTTTAGACCCTAAAAATCCTGTGCAGCTGTTTATGGAGATTTGCCTGCTCATGGTTTCTTTTAACAAGGAAGCAAGGTTGGCCTATATCTGTTTTGCAGTAAAAACACTTCCCAGCATGGCACCAAAGGAAAAGTGCTAGCAGCAGCCCAGCACACGGTGTCTCACCTGCCAATGGGTAAGGCATTGCGGATGATCCTCTGGCTGCCTCGGGTGTATTCAATATCCACGGTAATCGGTGCCGAATAGGTCATGTCCCTCAGGCGGCACTGGAAGGACAAAAGGCACACAACAGGTCAGGTGCTGACTTCAAGCTCAAGAATCTCTATTAAAACAGCCTCTATTTGCCCCATCCTGTAAGTCCTCACAAAGAAATCAAGCAAAGCAAAGCTTCAGCAAGATCTTCTTGATACCTGGAGAATGCTGAATGAACCTGACAAACTCTCCGTTTTGTTTTTGTTTAAAACAAAATCCAAGAAAATCCAAATACAATTGCTCTGATTTTCAAAAGCAGCCAGCAGATCTGTGCCTTCAGAAGACAGCACTGCAGAGCTTAACTTCTAAACTCTCTAATTAAACCAAGAGGTCTAATTAAACCAACAGGTCTAATCAGCAGAGTTGGAACAAAGACCACAGTGTGTCTGAGCAGTGCTCAGTTCAGGGACATTTCTGTATGTGGACTCCCAACAGCTGAAGACTTGTGCTGCCTTATAAAGTTTGACAAAATGGAAAGGCACAAGATTGAGAGAGACACCATTACCTTATCAGAATGAGCAAACCTCACTGTATGGTACATTTCTAATGATGACTTACAGAAGGCTCACTACAGAATCACTTCCTGCAAAGATTCCCAGAATTTGTCTGCAAATTCCTTGGGGACCAAGAGAAGCAGAATAAACATATCTAGGGCATTAGATACCTCAAGGCTCAATCATTTCTAATCCAATCTCTCTGGTCTGCTCTCCCCAGCCTCCCTCTAAGATGCTGCCAGCCCTTAAGGTATTGCGTCTCTTCATGCAAGACAGGCCTGATTGCATCTGCTGAACACAAGAGAACAACTCACAGCAGGTCATTCATGACCTCACTGAGCATGCTTTACCTTTCAGCTTCAGGATTACAGGCTCAACAGCAGCCAGACTTGCACATTTATACTTCTGCAGTCTTTCAGTTTGTTGATTATGTACTAACAAAAGGCAATTAAGATGATGCTGTGTATTGAAGATGCAGCTCTAGGGAAAAACAGGCCTTCGAGAATCATTCCAAAGTGGATGCTTCTCCTCCCTCCACACTACACAGTAAACCTCTTCTCCAGTAATAAAATACTGATATACACCAGCAGCTTTCAAGCCATGCCTTGCAGGAAACTAGGTACCATTCTGCTCCCAGCAACTACCTCCAATTGAAAAGTAACTGAGAATATTTCCATATCCTAATTACTTTAAATCCATCTGTATGAATAGATCATGAAACTCACATAAAGACTGGAGCAAAAAGAAAGTTAGACAGCCTCTTTAGTACTACTTGAGGGAAAAATGCCTTGGGATTCTCTGTGTGTGCTTTTTTAACATAGGTCACAGATACAAAATACAAGTTACAGTGTAATATTCCAGCATGTGTATTTTTGTATCACCTTTCTGGAGGTAACTTCTTACTATAGACACCTGGAAGTAAAAAACAAGCATGACTTGATATACACTCAGACCCTCACAAAAATCTAATGATTTTAGGTGGTTTGGGAAGGAATTTTATGAGCTTTCAATAGAGAAATACAACAGCAGACTCCTAACTATCTAATGCTTTTTTTCATTTTAAGGCACCCAGGCTTGACCTGAGCACCATCCTATTTAAGAAAACAACTGTGGCCTCCATTTGTATACAGCACACTGAAAATAAAGAGAAATTATGGACTAGCATTAAGCATCAATGAGAATATATGAGATACAAGAGTATCTCACTCTAAACTCAAGGTCAATATGCTCTATAAGCATTTATTTTGCCTTCCTCTGTATATACAGTCACTTTAGCTATACAGTAAGAAAGCATATTAATACCTGAATTCTTGAATATGAGTTGTTGGACACAAACAATTTTTTTGCATGCAATTTAATTAATATGAAAGAAATGTTTCCTGTTGCATTTTGTGCATGCTCACATCTACTGACTAAACATTAGCTATACATTTGTGAGATGCAGCAACTATCATATATTACACCTGGCTGAGTTATTGGCTTTATTTTAAAGCTTTCCATCAAACCAAATGAGATTTGAGTCAGGCCACTTGAGACAGAAAGTGGCCATGCCCAAGCAGCACAGCTGATTTCTCCAAAGCACAGAATGTATTTCATTATAGTCTAGATTGGATGACAAAAAACATATTTCAAGTATCAAGTGGATACAGCAAGGAAAAAAGCATCAGATATATTAACTGAGTTATGAGGTTGACAACCAGCTGCATGCAGGTAAATAAGTGCAAACTCCAAGCTCAGTTCCCCCTCCAGAGACCAAAAAGAAGTGGTCACTACCTCTGTTGCAGTGGTATAAATCTCAAAGCACAGTAGCAGGAGAGAAATACTGTGTTCCTGAGCACTTTGAAGAGAACTGGATGGCTCTAGATACATGAAAGCAATCCTAAAAAGTTCAAAGCTTATGCTAGCTTATGGGTTTCTCATACCTATAGAAACTACCTTGTATCCTGTTGGTCAAAACCAAGAGACTCTGATTTCAGTCACAGCAGGATGTCCTCCAACATACATCTTTATTCCAGAAATACACAATCCAATTGTTAACCTACATGCCTACAGCACTGCAATGAAATTAAATATACCCTCCAGAAGGATAATGTTCTTCTGCAGCTTCTTATAATTTTAACAGTTTCCATCTGTTTCTGCTTAAAATTTCCATGTTTGCTTTCTGAATCAGACATTAAAAATATGAGCAAAAAAATCAGATACAAGTTCCCAAAGACTGGAAAGGAAACAGAGACTGAAGTGACCTATGGTGCAGACAGTAGCAAGGCTAATATTAAAAAGAAGTAAATAAGAATATCAAAGCACCTTACATTATGGCATGAGGACTTCAGCTCTGTCATGAGGAGAGCCGTAAGATGAAGCAAGAGAAGTACTTTTCACTACTTTCATGAAAACCCACTCATATTAAGCTAACACAAAACACTGAATACAGCAAAAAAAAAATCTCAACAATTTTAAAAAAATTAAAAAGTTTTATTCAATGATGTTTAAGTTCTGAAGCTTTTTACAGTGCTGGTGGAATGCAATGCACTACCTAAGGTAACACTCACATACTCAAAATTACATGCAACTATTATCCCAGACATTCCCAAGATAAAAAAAAAACTCAACAAGGTAGATGCAAACATTAATACCTCATGAGGTGATACAGGTCGTGTCACATTGAAGCTTTCTTCCACATCTGGAGTACCCACATAGATATTGAGGTACCTGCAATACAATTTCAAAATAAGCAATGAGGCAAATATTTTTCAGGCAACCTGAAGAAAGCAAATTTTACATACACTGAAAAATGAAATTACGTGATAAACACAAGTTGATTAATAATGAGCAATCGTTCTTCTCAAAGTAACTCATTGTATTTGAGTTGTGGTCAAATAATAAAAGTTTAGCCTGCATGTGCAGTAAACCTTTAAATCTTCCCATCTTTCATTGCATAAAGTAAGAGGTAAGTCACAGAAAACGCCCTCTTGATTTATGCCTAAACAAGTGGTTACAAACACTTTACAGCTGATAACAAACCCATGAGATAGTACTCATGCTGCTACTGATATGGAAATCATCTCATGCTTACTTCAGGTACCACATTGGGTCAGCATCACTTGTGACTTTTTCATTGGCCTTCATGATTTTCTTTATCTGGAGGAGAAAAAGAACAGAATGGATCCATGGCCTTTTCTCAGTGCTACGAGCCACTCTCCCCCCAGCCCAGGAGAGCCTACCTCGACATTGATGAAATAGTTGAATGAGTCTATAACAGAATGGATCCATGGCCTTTTCTGAGTGCTAAGAGCCACTTTCCCCCAGCCCAGGAGAGCCTACCTCGACATTGATGAAATAGTTGAATGAGTCTATGTGCTGCTTCACCAGTCCTTTCACCTGAAAAATAATGCACACAGCAAATAAAATCAGCTTCAGTAACGTTAATCACACAAGACAGAAATTAAGAGATAAGCATTTATGACTGGTTTTGGTAACTGTGCTAAATTCTTTCAGCTGACAAACTTCTGGGAAGTGGCTGGCTGCTCATTCTGGTTCTCCACTACATTTCCAAGCTTACACTGGAGCTGTCATATAAAGAGCATGGATAGGGTCTCCAAGAGCCAGTAAAACAGGAAAATAATCTGGCAACATTACATACATACAGAATGGATTGAGAATAACCACAACAAAATGCAGAACTCTAGGATGTCACCACAAAATAATTTGTAAATTAATCAAGAAGACAATCTATGGAGCAAGTCTATTGATAACTGCAAGGAACTAAAACAAAAGGCAAAATCCACAGGAGTGAGAACAGGTATTCTGGGAAACAGTAAAAGCCAGAAGAAGGGAATGTAAAGTTAGAAAGGAGATGAAATATTCACACCATGAAATGAGTGTGTAGCACTAACCTTTAGAAATGCTGGAAGAAGTCTCCATTTTTCCTGAAAACAAAACAGTTTGAAACATCATTTCAAGGAGTAGCCAAATATCTAACATGCCTGAGCTTTTTGTCTGCATGTTTTATTGTTATTATTGTTTTTTGAACAATAACATTATTTTAAATCAGATCCATTTGGAAAAAAAACCTAAAAAACAAAAAACAACTGTCTAAAGCCAACAGAGATGGATTAAAATTACCTGGAGCATCTCAGTAAACCATACATGCAGTATTTCCTCAGCATGCAAAGGCACACTGCCTTTCCTAAGAGCAGCTTATGTGAAAATACATTTTTCTGAGACAATTCCTTAACACCATGTCCTCATTTATGATCAACTAACATTTTTTTTTGGATATGTTCTGTTAACACTGTAAATTATATTCCTAGAAAGGGAAGATTTCCTACAACTTTTACTTTACAAAACACATGCAAGAACCTGTATGTGTTCTGTCTCTGTAACACTTATCAGGACTCTAAATCCTACACAGATTTAGCAAAAGTACTGCAAGTGCTAAGTATATCAAGGTTCCTACAAACTTTCCCCTATTTCTAATCTTTGAGGAGCACAGGGAACATCTCTTTATCTCAGCCCCACTTTCTCCCACCATGGCAGTGCAAAAAAACTTGCCTATGTCTTTGGCTGGAGACAAAATTCTTTTATTAGGAAGAGCGCTCCCAGCCCTCGTATGCTTCTCCATCTACTACCATTTAAAAATACTACAAAATTAGTAACCAAAAAACCTGCAGAAAGTTGTTTGTTTTCTTCTATCCACAGAAATGCTGATGGTGCTCTTGGCTTTCAGCCTCCACTGCTGCTGTTTGTTAATCTACTAATCTTGCTTGTGATCCCAATCTAACATCTAACCATGGCAAAGCCGGTGAAGTAAAAACAAACACATGCAGTACGGTGGCTTTTAATACTGGTCCTTCGTGGTTTATGTGCAGCAGCGTTCACAGACTGCAAAGCTGAAGAGTGGCTGATTTCAGGTTTTAATGTTACGTCTAAAAAAGGGGGTTAATCTGTTAAACAGTAATGCAATCAAACTGATGACCTAAGGAAGACCCTAATGATTTTAATCTGGAGTAAATCCTGCAAGGCCAGGCTGGCAGGGGCACGGGGCAGCGGGCCGGGCCGGGCCGTGCCGTGCCGGGGGGCGAGGACAGGGGCTGCGAGGGCCGGAGCGCCCGGGGGGCACGGCCGGGACGGGCACTGCGAGGGCCGGGACGGCGCCTCAGGAGGCCGAGCCCGGCTCCACGGGCGGCTGCCCAGGGGCGCTCGGAGCACACAGCCCCCAGCCCACACACACAGATAAACACACACAAACACACACAAACACACAGAGACAAACACACACACAAACACACACAAACAAACACACACACACAGACAAACACACACACAAACCGAGCGGCGCATCACAGGCAGGGGGGACTCCACGTGTGCGCCAGCAGAAGACTCCTTCCACCCCACCCCAGCTCGGGTGAGCCCGGCCACACTCCAGGAGAGCCCGAGGCGCTCCCGGCCCTTGCCCCTCGCCCCGCTGACCTCCACCGTGTTGACCGGGGCCGCCGCCTGCTCCGGGGTGAGCGCGCCGAGCCCCAGCGCCTCCATGGCCGGCCGCGCACCGCGGCGCTGCAGCACGGCGCGTCCCCCCGCGCTCCAGCGCGGCGCCCGAAGGTTCCGGCCCCGCGCAGCCCGGGCGCCGCCGAGCGCAGCCAGGCCCCGGCAGCCCGGCCTTCCCCCTGCCGGCAGCCCGGCCTTCCCTCTGCCTGCAGCCCGGCCTTCCCTCAGCCTGCAGCCCGCCCCGCCGGGGCACCGCGGAGCTGGCAGCGCCCGCGGGTCCCCCCCGCATCCCCGAGTCGGTCACCGCTCCCCGCCGGCGCAGCCGGGAGGCGGCAGGGACACGGAGCACTTGGGCTTTAAACGGCTTTCCTGCAGTTTTCAGCTTGTAAAGTAACGCGGGGCACCAGCTTTTAGCGTTATTATTATTACTGTTATTATTATTGAATGCTGTAGCTGAATCACCTACAAATTTATTTGTTCTCCTTTACAAGGGTCGGTGGTACAGAGGCAGCAAAATCGCAGATTTGGAGCTACTCATCTGCGCCAGTTCAAGATTAAATGAGAAGCACTAGTGATCTCTGCAGATTCCCGTGGCAGTAAGATTTTGAGGTATATATATGTAAATATAATAATTTGTAAGTAAGTTCTAAAAGAGTGTACAGACGTCGGCCCTGGCTCAGGTTCCACATGAGTACATTCCCGGGGGTGGGTCTGGGCTCCATCCTGGACACTAAGGCCCCTACCCTGAAGAGGAGTAACATTTCAGACTCCTTCCATTTGCTTTCCTGCCTGAAGCGCACAGGCAGTAGAGAATTTGTTTAATACGTGGCAATCCATGTTTAATCCATGCCAGGCCTCTGTCGGGCAAAGGGGAGAGCTTGGAGCAGTTTCTCACAGGAGTCACCCCTGCAGTCCACTCCCCCTCCAACTCTGCCAGGCAAACCCAATACATCCTTCATCCAAGTAGTCAGATTTAAGCAGGCAACTGTTTGGAACATTAGCTGTACAGCTGGGTTAAAGTCACTACTCTACACTGGAGCTGCTTCTGAGAAGTAACAGAAAAACAGTCACAACAGAATATTACTGGAGTCATTTATCTTTGGCATTTAACAATCTGTTGCATTTAACAATGCTTGTGTAAATGACTTTTCACCACTGCTGGTATCACAAACAAAATTTAATGCATACAAACCCTCAAATACTTGATTTTTAACAAAGCTGCTACAGAATGGCATCTTGTTTCACAAGGACAACTTCTGAGTAGAGGCAAGTGCATTTCAGGCACAGTAGCATAAATAGCATGCAACACATGACATTAGACAGAAGCAATGTCCCTGTTTGAAACATTAAATTAAAACATATTAAACACTCACTTGAAACACAGGCCATGCTATAAAATGCCCTTCGCAAGTCACCTTAATCCCCACCCCCCCATAAATGCTATGCTTTGAGTATTTACTGGTAAAAAAGAGTATGACAGTTGTTCCAGCTCATTAAAGAGCTGAAGTTTGATGTTTATTTGTACAATATAATGTATATAAAATATTACAATTAAAAGTTCATAATCATATTAGCAATCACCTTCAAAAGTTCATAAAATCCTCTTTTGGCTGAAGTTCAAAATCATGTAGGTATTTCTAAAATTGTAGCAAATCACTAAGATTCATTCCCTCTAGCTGTTTTTGAAATGCATTCCTCTCTTAATGATTTTGAATTGCCTACCAAAATTTCATATTCATCTGAACAAGCCTGGCTTACCTAGTGGCACAGTTATGATAATCTAAGAGTTCCTTTCTCCTAGGTTTTCCAGGAAACAGTTCCCTTTAAAATATGTATTCATCTTTATTTTATGCAATGTTTTCACAGGGGACAGAAGACAAGTGCTAGAGAAATTTCTCTAAAAAAGGCATTTTGAAGAAAGTTTTCCTTAACATTTACATGTGACCAAAGACCTTGGACACTGAAAAACTGAATAGAAGTAATTTCCTTTGCTATAAAGGGTACACATTCCTGTAGAAATGGACTACAAAACCACAGTGCTAATAATGCCCAGGTTTTTTAGACCTTTATGATAGACACAGTAATGTACATAAACAATTTGTGTGACACATTACGCTTTTACAGGTTATTTTTGTCTCTTCATAAAAAATAGATTGTAATATAAAATATTAAAAACAAGCTCTAACTTGTACCACACCAAGGTTTTCCATATATGACATCTTAAAAGGAGTATTATATGGTAATATATTAAAATATAATTTTCAAGTAAATCATCAGTTTCATAGACAAGAACACGTCTATAATATGTACTCCAGCACTATCTAATCCCAGTAATCTGAAATATGCAAGATAAAGCCTGTGTAAACTTAAAGAAGTTCACTTCCACATTTCTCTATTTCAATCCCATTCATTTTCTGTATGCAAGATTCCCAATGCCTTAAATGGGAACTAAATATTGGGGCACAGTCCAAAGAAATTTGAGGAAAACAGGAGCATTTCTCACACACTCCATAAAAAAGTGAATACAATAATATTTTCAAAAATTACTAATTACTCAGGTTCTTGCTTTCAGATCTAAGAATATTCTGTGAAAAATTTACATTCTGTTGGATAAGGGCATGAAAGGGGCAGTTCTTCTGTAGTACACTGTAAGGTCAGGGTTAAGTGCTTTTGGGAATAAAGGTTAGAAAGACCCAACTTAAAAATACTTAATACCCATCCATTAAGATCAAAGTTCAATACATACACATATTAAAAATTCTGTATGACCTCCACTGAATAAACAAAATGCTTATAAACACATTAATTATATACAGAAATTTACTCCACCTCCAACATCATGTTTCTCAGGTGTTTATGGTTAATCTCAAGTAGAGTTGAGAAGTTCTGAGTGATTCATACTGGAAGTGGTGCACGCTGCTTCTGTAACAGCTATCCTGCAAACAGCTTGTAACACTGGCATTCCTTAATGTAACAGAGGCAAAGTTCTGGGTCCAGTAATTGCACAAGTATCTGCACTTGGCCTGGTATGAACCTGGGTTTGGCTATTAAAGCAGTTATGCCATACTGTCTTCTTCAAAGTATTCTCAGAAACATAACTGTTGTCTGAGATGTTACTCTACAAAAATACAATGTAAGCATAGTACATTTTATCTACAGTTTTGTCATTTCCCAATATGCATTGCTATATGTAAATATATTTGAGTTTAAAAATAACATTGTTTTGATGGTGGCAAAACAGTAAGTACATTGCCAGCTCTTTCCCACTACAAGTCATAATAAATGCTTGGTATGGAAATTAGTAATTCACTGGCTATTACAAGTGACAATCCATTAAACAAATATTTTTCTATTAAAATATATATATATGACCTTGACATTAATTTCTTTACAGTGAATTTCCGAAACCATCTGTATACATTTAACAAGACCTTTCCCCATCAACAGTCATTGGAGTAGGCTGTTCTTAGAGATGTGACTTCCCCACTGTCTTGGAAGATTAAAAAAGGGTACATTTTTTAATTGCTCGATGTTTCTGCTTCTGTTTTCTCCATTGCTGCCTCAGGAAAAAGCAGTTTTCTAAGTATATTTGCATAGAATGGTCCATACACTTTTTTATTGAAGTTTACAATGCTTGCATACTGAGATCCCAGAAACTCTATCTCTGTCTGAATCACAGAAAGGCCTCCTGGCATAGCAGGCATACACTTCTGAAAACTTGGAAGAGCAAGCAAGCTTCTCATGAAGAGCTGGATTCGCTTGTCTGAAATGGAATATAAAATATGCTCAGAACAAATGTAAACCCAAGGTGATGCCACAGTCACTTTTTAAGTACCCTGAAAACCAACAGTGTAAGCAACAACTCTTTCTCAAGATTGCTTTGGAATGGGAAACAATACTGTAAGCTTCTTAAATTTGGCTACTGCAAGGTGGACACAGCATAAACCTACTGCAACAAGTTACATTAACAAATATGAAGTAGACTCAAAGGAAAGAAAAAAAACACAGTAGGTTTAAACCCAGGATGGACAGAAAGAAGACTAAACATTCATTTTATCTAAATTCTTCTCCGAAATACTAGGCTGCCTAGGCTTGTCTCTACATGCACTTTTACAATTATTTCCAGCTGTGACTAACTATGCTCTGCAACATACCCAGAACACCATTTCCTACTAAACACCATATCCTTAATTTAGTTGAGCCAGTATTTTACTGCAGTAAGAAAATACTTTTAGAAGATAATGAGACAGCTTATTAAGCTTGCTGGAAGTTTATAAACAGACACATACAATATGACAATTAGGTAGTCTCTTACTAACCAATCAAGGAAGAGACAGGATTATTCTTCTCAACAATATGAGCGATTTGACCCATTAAATTGCTCTGCATTTCTTCAGTAAGAGTGGGAAGACCTCTTTCACTTAGAGACTTGTTCACTATGCTGCAAATCTGGATGCCAATAGCATTCAGAGCCTCCTTCAAGTCAAAATTTCTGGAAGAAAAAGAAAAGCATTACATTCTGCAGTTTCTGTAGGTTGTCTCCTTTCCCTTTTATTTTCAGCCTGGACTCTGCAATGAGAATTTTGAAAAGTTATCTTTTGCTGCGGATTTATACAAATCTACATAAACAGGAAAATTTCTATGTGGAAGAAAAAATAAAGACCTAGCTGTGATTCAAATGGGAAAAGTAATTTCACGTGTGCAGCAGTGACACCAATTCACTTTATCCTTATGCCTAGGTGTTTTTGTGGGCCACCTGCATAGCATTTAATGAGAATAAACAAGGGTAGAAAATTCTTTTAAAAGACAGTCACAGACATCAGACTTGTCAAGCAGCCAAAGAAACAGGCAGCCAAGCAACCTGAACTACCTACAAGTTTGAAACAACTCCCAAGAGGATTTAGTGAATGTACTGCCACAATATCTCCAGTATTAGGAGTGTATGAAGGAACTTCACTGCTGGGTTCCAAAATTTGTACATTAACATCAAGACTAAGATTTCATTAAAATCTACTTTTGAAAACAAGTGTCTAACATATAGTGGCCTTGTATCATAAAGAGAATACATAAATTATTAAAATTCGGTATATTCCTATTAATAACAAGCACCAGTTATGACTCTAGAATTGTTTCCAATTATTTACTGTCCAAAAAACAGTTTTATAAAGGAGTAAAAAAAAAAAGATCTTACTTCTTATTCATGCCTTCAAGAAGAGGAAGGGAGATTCTTTTCAGCTGGTCAGGAAAATCAGGCATATCTACAATTGCTGCACCCACCATGTTGTTTGTTATGAGAGAAACACAAGCTATGACTTTTAATTGATTGAGCTTTTCTCTCAACTCCTGAAGACGGACTTCATCTGTTATTAGAGTCTAGAATTGAAACAATAATACTAATTTAGGAATAAGGAGGGAGGGAGACAGGAAAAGGACAGATCTAGGATGCAGTCATGAAGCACTACTATTTTTAATCACAAATATGCAAACCCAGAGGAGACAGCAATAAAATACCCTAAATATGTGGCATAATATGAAGTGGTATTATGTACAAGTACCAGAAGTAAACCTGTGGCGGGAAGAAAAGTAATGAGGAAACTGAGGACATT